ATTGTCATTACTTCAAGTCCCTGCTTGACGCCTAGTTATAAACCACGGTCGAGAGCCTAGAGCACTTCCACGTGATCTAGACGGCAAACCTCGTAACATAGAGTTTTCAAAATTGTATATCAATAATCGATTACAATTCAGAATATAAAAACTGACTTTCGAGAAGTAGAATTAATATCATTTGATTCTCAAGTTGTATTTTCAAAATTAGATATTCGAATTCGTATATCTATCTGTTACGAGGTTTGCCGTCTAGATCACGTGGAAGTGCTCTAGGCTCTCGAGGTGGTTTATAACTAGGCGTCAAGCAGGGACTTAAAGTAATGACAATAATGCAATTCATAACTAATAGTAGAGTATACTAAATGATTGATCTTGAACACGAAGCTCTATACAAAGGGAATCCATCTTGATTATATAGACCTTCGTACCTCCTTAAAAAAAACCGATGGCTATGAGCCCGACAAATCGATCACCGCAAAGCCGATCTCGATTTGTCGGTTTCTTGATCATGTGATTAAGAACGTGACCTATGTTACTGTCCGACGTAACACTAAATAGATTTCTTCCCTTTTTCGCTTTTTTAAACTTTAAGTTTTAATTAAGCTTTAATTAAGCTGTAAATATCAAGTTATCAAGTTACAAAACTTCAATAACTATTTTTCCCATCCCAAGAATACCCTATTCACCTCATCTCATCTCACCTCACCTTATACATCTCTATCCATCCATCCATCCATCCATCTATAAAAACTCCCACTCACAAAGAACAAACCCCACTCCCAACCAAATACGACTTTGGATAAAAGATCCTCGGCACACCCCCCGCCATACTAACCGCCAAATTCCCACTACCATTCGTCGTAGACGTCGTGCACGTAAGGACTTCCACCACTTGCAGATTAGACGTGAATCCCGTTTGTGAACTTGTTAGTGTTAAGGTGTAACCTGTGGGTGGGATTTGTTAGCGATTATTTCCGTGGAAGATCTTTTCTTTCCCCAATCCCAAAGACATTTCCTCGAGAATTTTTGAGGAAAATATTCAAGTGGGTTGAAAGTTAAAATTTAAGATTTAGGAAATATAAGCAAAAAAAAAATAAAAATAAAAAATAAACTCACTACTCCCCGAAGCACCCTTATTACTAAAAACAGCAATAATCTGCTTTCCGGTAAAACCCTTCCTCATCACAATCGTCGTACCATCACTATAAACCGGATATGCTTTATAAGTAAGATAGGTCGGATCCACGTAAATAGCCTGATTACGAATTTGATTCACCGAAGCAATAAAGCGGTAATATGTTGCAGATTGCGAGTAGGAGTTTGAGTTGGACCAGAGGGCTTCGCGGTTGTTGGGGACGGAGGAACCGGTTAGGTGTTGTTCTTGGCCTTGGTAGACTGGGGTTTGGGAGGAGGGTTAGTTGGATTTTGGGATGTTGGGGGAGGGGGAAGGAATGGGGAAGGGAGAGGGGGAGTTACCGATGGGAATGCCATCTGAGAGAATGGTAAATGCGATGGCATTTTTAGTGAGTGAGGCATCGGATGTATAAGAGGGGAAACGAGCCACGTCGTGATTTTCTAGGAAGGATCCAAGGAGAGTGGTATCTGAACAGCTGGATTTCATCGTGTTGATTCCATTTACGAGGTTGGAGATACTTCCGCTTGTGGATTGGAAGGCTTGTGTTATCCAGTAGTATCTACTTAATTTAGTTTTACGATCGGGAAGAGTTTTGCGGGGTTGCTTAGTGATGAGAAACAGGACTTACGCGGGATAGTTGAGAACTCCGTTCATGTAATTCTGGTATGGACATACGTAGGCTGGATCACCATTGAAAATTTCTCCAACGACGTATACACCAGCTATGTAATACATTGTTAGCCTCTTTGTTCTATCTCCATGTCCCCATTACCGAGCACAAAAAAAATCTTGAAAAAAACCACATACCCGAATTCTGAAAACTAGGAAAGAAAGCCTTCCCAGTTTGTTGCGCACTATCAACTCTCAACCCATCAATCGAATAATTAGCCACGAGTTGTGAAATCCACGAATTCCACTCCGTGTAAACATCTGAATCTTCGGTTCTAAGATCGGGTAATGAGACGATATTGTCACCTTCCCAACAATCTACCACGCTTGTTGCATTGTTATAATCTATTAGGCAGAAAGGATGGTAGTAGGATTTCTATTCGTGTGGATTAGTCATGTATGTCATGTTTATTGGTGAGGAAGAACACCCACGGAATTGAAGGGTGTGTAGATACTATAGTCTACGCATGTTCCGCAGCCGAGATATCCCATGTGGTTGGTGACGACGTCGACCATTAGGTACATGCCTCTAGCATGGAGCTGTGCAGAATAAGGTTAGTGCTGACTACGTCTTTTGGTTGTAGACTTGGATTACTTACTGCAGCTGATAGTGCTTTAAGATCGGCTGGTGTACCGAAATTGGAATTAACCTGGTAAATATTCTGTGCCCAATATCCATGATAACTAGAACCATCCTATAATTTCACATCAGTTCAGACACTCGTAGATAGTCTATCCGAAAATATAGAACCCTTCTCTCCAAAGAGGAAAACGAAAAAGACTTGCATACCACACTATCCCCAACAATATTCTGCACAATCGGAGAAATCCAAATCTACTCATCATCAGCACAAAACCCATCATCCAATCCACATCTCCAAACTCACAGCCGTGAAACCCATATTCTGAATATAATCCAAATGTTTGATAATACCCTGCCACGAACCACCACAATATTCATTCACGTTACAAGAAGCAGTAGTAGAGCCATCGGTACGTGCAAAACGATCTGTGATGACTTGATAGATAGATTGTGATCTCCAACCTGCTGCTGAGAGAGCCGCGACACTAGTCGCCAGGTACGTGACGGGTATGAGACGGAGAAGACTGCTTGGCTTCATTTTGAATCGAGTTCCGTGAGGGATACAATATGAAGTAAAAGACACCGGAAGAGGGCGAGGGGATTGAGATCAATGAAGGAAAGAACTTCTCCTGATTCGAAGGTGATAGTTCAGATCAGCCCTTGACTCAAACAGTGAACAATAAGGAAGTAGAATCAGTCATCTTGGGATGGATAGAATACTTATATAAGAGCGAATGCATAGAAGCATGGAGTGCACATGTTCGGTACCGAGGTTGCGCTAATTAAAAGAGAGGTTTTGGGTTTTATTTGAATCCTTTAAGATTATCCTTTAGTTGCCATAAGCTCCCGCTCCCGTGTAACCCATGCATAGTTTAGATCTTACACACTTCCGACATAATAGGAAATACATTTGAAAAGATTTTGAATATTTTAAAAAGGGATATTATTCTGATATTGAATCTTTATCGTTCAAATCTAACAATTTTCTAATAAGATATATAGTTGTTTTATGTTGATTTCTTGAAAAGTATATACTTTTCACAAGTATTCGTTTAGTTGGTTTTATAGCTCTTTATCAATCGATTTGCTATTCTAGTACTATGAGCTGATTTGTAACAATTAATAGGGATAATGCCGAGAGGGATAAAGCCTGGACCATTCCAAAATCAATTTAGATACGAAATAAAGTTCAATTAAGATGAAAACCATCAGATTTACCATTAAAAAAATTACCCAAACCGAACGAAGGTATTGATCTTCCTTTTTCTCGCTAAAACTTGATGTTCAATTATTTAATTCTTGTACTCTGTATGTATTTCCAACACTTACTTCCCTTCATCCAGTGTTTATGGAATATGAGGTATAAAATGTGTATGCATACTAAAGGTTAATTGAAGACTTCTTCAAATACACAATAAATGTTCCGATATTCGGTCCTTTCCTCTTCACTATACAACCTCAATCGTACATCGTTCACGGAGTAAGTTACAATCGTAGTTAATCCGTCTAAACTTCAACATCCCGCTACCCCAAAAGTAACATCAAAGTACCCCACAATGGCGGGGTAATAGCGAAATGAATGAACACCGAGGATGTGTATTTCCGCACCTTCCCGAACCGGTAATTTACGCCGCATCTTCAACTTTTTGACGGAAAAACGTTCGATGAAGTTGTTGAAGGTTCATTAAAGATTTCATTAAACTGATTAAAGTCATAAGGATTCAAACTTGGGTCCTTGAAACGGACCGAATAAAGTTTGTCGATCTTCTTCAGACACCTGCAGAATGCACATGCCGCAGTACGGTACCTGAATGTGAACCACCACGTGCCAGGGAATGAATGCATTGAAGGATTTTCCGTTTAACCGCTGACCCGACTATGTTCCATCGGTGCCGAAATAACTACGGAGTAGATTGATCTTCAATCGTAGGACGGATGTTGGAAAGTACTCTTACCGTAGGGCAGCAATCAGCTTGATTTTCATTACCATGTCAAATGCAAAAGCCATGACAATTCGCATCGACAATCCTTTCAATTCCCATGTTGAAGGTTATTTCCAATAGATAATATCCATAAATATTCTTATGTAGTAAAAAAAAGGAAAAAGTAAAGCCGATAGTATTGTATACAAACCCAAGCAAACAATTTTATAAATTGTGACTTCACACATGTTTCTAAACGCAAATGCAAAAAAGAGGTCCAGAATCACTTCATCTTGAACAAGTAATCACCAGAACAAAACGAGAATGAAAGACAATAGAATCTTGACATAAATGTATCGTTTGTAGGGAGTAGGGAAGACTGTCTTCCAGGTACATACCGTAACATGTTTCGGCCGAACCATTGTCAAATCGGTTAAGGCATCAGATAGGATGATGGCCTGACCGCAGGATCCAAGGATGCTTAACTCCTACTCCCGAGCCCGTCAAAGCTTATTTATACCCACTACCCAGAGTATCAAATTTGATGGAATGCCTGATGTTCGCATTAAAGCCTGCAAGGTACTGGGAATTTTTGCCAAAGCACGAGCTCTGGATCATTCCTTCAGCAGTACCCCGTTCCCTTTGTAGTTGCTGGATGTAAGATGGTATTTTCATCGGATGCCTCGATTTGGATGAGATCCATATTACCTGAGTCCAATCTTAGATAAGGGAGTAAGGTTAAGTTATGCGGAAAACTAACCTTCCGAGCCGGAGGGGAAAAAAAGAAAGCCTTAAAGCTTCTCTCAGAAGAAAAATCCGAGTGAATGTACTCTTCATGCTACTTAGCATATGAACTAAGGTAATCCTTTCGGTTCCTTCAATCTTATTACAAAGATGATCTAATATGACGTATATTTTTGTAATAGATTCGAATCAATTACCTTTGAAGTTTTTTTCCATTTCTCTTTTGAATAATTATATATTCTTCATGCCACTGAGCATATAAAATAGGTCAATACCTACTTTTGGCTACCTCCATCGCAAATTCAAACCAGCCATCCCTCCAAATCTTCACCACTCATATCCTAAATAACTAGATATCCTTAATTATGCCACTAGACATATAAAACAAAGTTAATCCTCCCAATCCCTCCGATTTCACCAGAGACCGGCTATACGGATTTACAAACCTACCCAGCTCCCTCCATCATAAACTCAAACCAAACAGTCCCTCCAACGCTCCACCACTCATAATCTAAATAACCAGGTATCCTTCATGCTACTTAGCATTTTAATTCCCCCAATTTCACCACAAAGACTGTATGAAATTACCTACTTTACCAACCTACCAACACCTACCATAAACAAACCCAACACATTCAAACCCTCAAAATCCATCACTTACCCTAAGTCTTTCCTCCTCCTCTTCCCAATATCTATAACTCACACCCCTCTCATCCACCCACCAAAGCCGATCATTAACCTACTCAAGCGCAACAAACATATACTCACAAATTCCATCCCATTCCATCCCATCTCATCCATCCACCTCATCATACACCTCATCATCCATCCACTTCTAATCAAAATCAAAACCCAACCAAAAAAAAAAAAAAAGAAAAAAAAAAAAAGTGTAATCAATTACTTGCATATTCCTATCCCCATGCCTATCTCATCATCCACCAGCAAGATGATATTTTGGTCTTTTTTTTTATACATTGTATGTAATCTTTGCATACCTCCCATACCTCCCATACCTTCCACCCAAAAATAAAGAAGCAGACGACGACGACGATGATGATAATATTGCAAACCTCTCATCTCTCTATTCACCTGGTTTTTATGCCCGCGCCCCTCCTCCTCCTCCTCATAATCATCATACATTCTATATACAATTATCCCTTATTTTCTTCTATTTCGTTTTGTTGCAAAACTCACTACCCACTTCTCCCCGAATGATCTCGAAAAGGCGATATTGTTGCGTGACTCTCCATCCACTAGATGTTTTTCCCCTGCTTTCTTGGAAGATCTTACAGCGTCATGCTTTCGGTGAATGGTGGGTGGGTGGGTGGGTGGGTTATCGATATTTTTGTTGCGTATCTCCTTATTCACCATACATCATACATCATATATCGTTATTCCTTCCAGAAATCAATACCCAGGTATTCCAGGTCAGGTTCCATTGCGTATGCGAATATTCACCCTGAAATGACATAACATACCAAATTCCCTCTTCCCCCAAAAAACTCAATATATTGCACATCTCCTCATTCACCAGAAACTTTTCCGTGAAACCATCCCTTCCAGATAAAGAGGATATATGAATAAACACGGTAGATAGCACTGTATAATTCATTCCCTGAATCACCAAATTCATCAAAATTCTACTCTGTTCCTTATACATATACAAGCCATATTGCATATCTCACCATTCACCAACCGCGAAGATATTTTACTGCGGGAATATCTATAAAATGAATGTCGGGGTGAAGAGTAAACGCCGATTCGATTCATGTCATGTCATGTAATGCTCGGTAGGACTACCTGCGTACCATGACTCTCGTGGTATTTCGTGGGATCCTTGAACTTGCGCAGTTAAATGTCATGATGGGATAGCGCGATTGTTGGCAAATTGTGAAAAAAGAAGGAAAAAAAACCATCTTGTGTTTGGCAGTTTGAGGATAAGGACAGAAAAGTGCTCATGGCTTCATATGTCACCTAGTCCGTTTTCCCACTCTTACAACTTCAACGGACAAGATCGAATTTGGCAAAGAAATCGTCCAACTGCTATATTTTGGCTGGTCGAGAATGTGGCGCTCGAGCAAGATGGCTGTCAACACCCTGAGGCAGGTAGATATATCAACTCCAAAAAAATCTCCAGAATAAAGCCTCACAATCAACACAAGGCTTACATTTCCAGAGCAATCATAGACAAGCTAATCCATGCCACATTCACAATTCATAAACGCGAGACATCCATTGACGAATCAAAGCATGCTCTATCTCGCTTGACAACTGAATATATTTTCAAGCAGGAGCTTGGGGCGCCCAGCCTGTATATGCAAGGATAATCCAAGAATAATTGTTTTGAACACTAAAGAGGTTCGTTCAAAGGGGGAGAGATACCTTAAATGATGGAAAAGAAGCTCCCGACTACCCTATAAACATTCTGGTTAAACACGAGATGCTTGAATAATACAAAATGGAGCTTGTGGATAGTGCTCTGTTTGTAGTGGTCTTCGACAACGTTGGATAACGGATATACACGAATTTTAGATGCGCGCAAAAATCAATGTATCGCGAACCTTTTTGGGAAGTTTCCATACGCAAGCACAACTTTGGAGAGATGATGTGATACTTCCGGTTCTTCCAACTAGGTAGTTCAGCATCTATCCCGATTCCACAGTCACTTTCTTGTGTTTCAAATTCTTTCGAATGTGGTACACGGATTTGGGTATGTTTGTGATGAGATTTGTGCGATAATCGCCATCCATTCTATGGACTTGCCACCTGGGAAGTCTTCAGGTATTGACGGAAATTGATGGTTTGAGAAAGTTGATGCTGCATTCAGAATAAAAAAGTAAACAAGGCGATAATAGAACATTGAATTAACAATCAAAACACAAGCCCATGATGATTTCTGCTCTTCTAGAATCAAAACACTTGATTCGAATCCAAATGTAAGATTAACTCCAACCAAATCCTCAAATCCTGAAGCTTGTCAGAAGTAACGCAACACTCGATTGCTCAATCTCTCGAACCGCCGATGAATGGTTGTGAATGATAAAATAGAAGGTATCAGCGGCACCTGCAATTACGGACTTTCCGGTGCATCGATGATCAGGTAGCAAAAGAACAGAAACCAATGTTGTCAAAGGTGATACACATGCAAATATCCTCGAGATGATATGTAATGTACAATATTGAGTGGACTGGTAGAGAAAAGGTCGGAGGAATCGAGGTGATGGTGAGACTAAGACTACCACGACTGACTCGTAAGCGTGCATCTAGCACATGGAAGGTTAAAATGTTCGAGCTCCGAGCCGTTACTGTTCATTGGCTTATAGTGAGTAAACATTGATCAGAATCGAAGTCAATCGGTACTGCAAAAGATGATGCTCAAATAATAAAGTATGGAGTATATCTTGAGTTAAAGGAGGTATGGTGACGTGATTGCTGGTTGTGATAATCGTTTGTTGTGGTAATTGCGAGTGACAGGACACAGGCTTCTCAGAATTTAGTTCCAACGTCCATTGGTCGGTTAAAGAATTGATTCTATTCTTATCACAAATAAAGGAATCCCCAAATTGTTTCCATTCGAAGCTATGAAGTTTCAGGAGGGCAAAGGCAAAAGCAAAAGCAAAATCTCACTGTCAAACCCCATATGAGCCAAAAAATATTCATCAAATCATAATCTCCGGGGAAGGCAGTGCAAACCCGAACCGATGGTAACTCTGAAAGGAAGGACAAATCAGGAATCTCGTCAGGGGGTCTAAATATCATGTAGGTATTTCCATTTTCATCAAATTTCGTGTCCAACTGTCACATAAGGAAGAATAGATACGGGAGCCTTCCCCTCCAAATATGTGTGGAACGGCGGCTATCGCGTCAAGGTCATTTTGGCTTTCTGTGTTCTTGCTCTGATCAAATGCCCGAGCCGATTTTATGTGCCGTATTCTGCAAACAGGATATGCGAGTATCCGCTTGGTGATATCAGATACATCGAATCCAAGGCTGTAACGAGAGAAATCACGATCACCAGGGAGAAATCTAGAGAGCTTTTATTTTCCAACCGCAGTACAAATATTTTTGGGAGAGATATCATTTCATGGCGACATACCAAAATTCCTGGATAAAATTGGGGTAAACCAAGTCATGAAGTGGTGGCGGCGGATTATAACGGGATTCCGATGATGATCATTCCGAGTATAGTGGCTCGAGTGTGGTTCTGAAACATATGAGAATGGGATGGAATCTGTGGACCCCCACGATGATGTACTGTTTGTTGAATGGATAGGGGCTTCAACAGATCTCGACAGATGGAATTGGATTGGGCCTTTTTCTTGGTAATATTACCCTTTGCGTTACCGCTTGTTTGAACATTGGTATGTTGTCCTTTCCGACGCTCTGATGATGATTGGACAATCCATATACTGTTGGTGATGGATTCCAGAATTCTTACCTGGGGGAACCGGGAATTCAAAGTGATGATGAAGTTGTACAGGTAGGGACCGCTATGCTTTTGAAAGACGGTGTACAGTTGCAGTTGCACAGCTGATTAATCAACGGCAGCCAAGCATGAGAGAAAGCCGTTGTAACTCATCAGTTCAGCAAGCATTGAATACCGATTGGTTCTGGTAGGATGAAAGGACCGACAGCGGTGGATGATGGGAGAGGTTGACTCGTGGCATCATGGCTTTCACGCAGTGTATCGTGTTTCCCACGGGTTGTACCCTTTTCTCACTGATATTCCACTCTCACAAATATGAAATTCGAGCTCACAAGAGAAAGCTTCCGTCGTCTTGGTGGTACTTTGTATAACTGTGGATCCCTCTTTCGTTTCCGATACTACGAAAAAAAAAAAGATATGGGTCAATTCCAAAGAAGTGGATGAAGTGGAAAAATCATCTGATTGATGCCGGTATGTTGGTTATTCCCATGTAAAAACGATTCCAAGCTTTAATCGGAAAGAATAATCTTCAATAGATATGAGCATTGAATCGGGAAAATAACCTTTGGAGATACTGCACAGTGTACAGTGTAGAATGCAGCGTGGTCGATATATGAGGTTGATTGGTAGCTGGTCAGTGGTCCCTTATGTCTCGGTAGAGGGGAGCCCCTGAAGGCAGTTTGATCAAAAGAAAAAGATACATTGCATTTGAGACAAGGACCCGTAGTTGAAGAAATCAATAAATATATATTTACCTTGACTAGCCCACTCCCCTGGCTAAGAAGACAGGATGGAAGAGGCGGAAAGGACGTGGAAGGAAGCAGCAAGATATTAATAAGTTGTTGCAAGCTGTGCTAAGTTGTGGTGTGGTGATGGTGCTCACCGATAAGTCTCTAGGGCTAGAATACCCGGGGAAATTCATTCTATCGTCCGTCCGTCATTCAGTCTTATTCTTTGGACGAAGTTGACAGGGAGACGGAGTCAGGTTTGAATCTTTCTAGAAGACAAATCTGAATCATTTCGTTTGAAATCGTTCCATTTCGCCAGGCTCTTTGACCCTAAGATAGCTAGTCGATGCAATGCCAACATGAATATCTTCTCACTACTGATGGATACCTTGGTACAGCGACTTATCATGATGGATCTGGTTAGAGGGGGAAGATTAGAAGAAAGTATAATTAATCAGGACCATTTCAGTGGTAAACTAGTGAATAATATAACTTTCATCGGGGGACTGTGATGAGGTAATAGGAAGGAGGGTAGTGCTCGGTGAGTGAGCGAATGAAGGAATAAAATCATTACGCAGTAGCAGGTCTCCGGGAGTCAAACACTCTATATCTATAATATTATATAGGATAGTATTGTTATGGATAGGCTGAATAGGCTAGATACTACAGCCTTCTATCTATTGACCTTATAAGTACTACCCAGGTACCTGATACCATAATAAAATGCAGTGCTTTTCAACACCTATTACTTATCACCACCACCTACCCACCAACCTACTCACATACCTACCTACTACTAGGTCCAATCATCATTTTAGGTAAACGTACTACGTATATTTAGAAATACATAAAATTCAATTAAAACAAATAATTACCCTGCAGCACCGGTAGGTAGTATTCTCTACTGATCAGTAATATGATGTTGATGCTGTACACGCACACGATTTATTGATTTTATTGATTTTATAAATGCTCCGTAAAGTGGTAGGCAGACAGAGTATTGTCGTTATCTTTTATTGCTATTCCCAAGATCCATAACCTTACCGGTACTCCTCTGTGAGATCTTATATTATTAATTTTTGACATTTTTTCAGTTTTTTAATTTTTCCCATTATCGTTTTATCTTCATTGTCCCAAGCTCCATTCAGTTGCAGCCTCTTCTCTTTCTCGTCCCGCTAAAATTCTCAATTCCCTGCCGTCAAATTTCAAACTTGCTGTTTACCACAAAGTTTTTAGCTCCACATCCTCCTTACCCTCTTTTTCCCCTTCTCAACCAAACAATCCTTTCCCGAAGGTTTTGTAATTGACTACCTAAGGTTAAGGCTATTTCTTTAACTTTATTGTTTTCTCCTCTTTCTATCTTGTTGCTCCTTCCTCTCTCTACCTCCTCCTTACCTTCCTATTCGTCTTTTGGAGGTCCCATCGATTACATCAACTACCCCCCCTCCTCCACCACATACCTCTCAATTCGAAATAAAAGGTCATTTTCTAAACCTCGCACACATTCAAAAATTCAAAAAAGATGTCGACAGCTATTCAGACCCAGCAAGGCAACTTAGATCGATATGTTGTCATTCATGTTGCTACCACTTGTGATGAGCATGGTGTGTACGTTACCAAGGATTCTGCTGAGGTGATAGAGCTTGGATGGATTTTACTTGATGCAAAAACCTGTGATGAGGTGAGTTTTCATCTGATTTGCGCTTCGATCTATCCGCGGAATTCAATTTGCTAATCGAGAAAATTTCAAGCTTCATCGAGAGAGTGTTCTGGTTAAGCCCATCAACACTCCAATTACTCCTCTATGCAGTAAGTGCCGAGCGAAATCATCTTATCAAGAGATGGTCCTCAATCGTTTGAGCTACGACAATACCGATCCTTCCGAATATTGACTAACTGAATATCAACAGCGAGCTTGACTACTCTTACATGGGAGCATGTTCGTACTGCAGGTACCTTCCGCGATGCGATCAACCGATTCGATACATTTGCTGCCGAGCACCTCACATCCCAAAACCTCGATTTCTCTTTTGTTACACTTGACTCATGGGATCTTCGAGTCCAGCTTCCCCGCGAAGCTCGTGACAAAGCTGTTGTGTTGCCCCCATATTTACAACATTCTCGAACTTTTGATCTTCGAACAGAGTACCAAAGATGGCAACAGCATCACCCCGAATCTCTGCCATTCGGCCCATCCATGCTTTCCAACATCTGCGCCGCATTGGAAGTTGAACCTGTTCAAGCTAGTGCACCAATTAAACACAATCTTCCATTCCATCTCCAAGCTTTGGCTCCGGCCTCGCCCCGTCGCGCAATGGAGGAAGCGGTTACACTTGCTAGAGTTCTCCGAGGGTTGATTCGCAAGTCACAACCTCCCCACGAGCATCCTGATGTCCTCACCAGACCTATGGATGCCCGTGCTGATGTTAGAGCTTTTCTTTCCGAGCGCAGCAAAGTTCTCCACATGGCAGGACTTCCCCACGATACCACCCAATCCGAGCTTGAAAGCTGGTTCACCCAATTTGGTGGTCGTCCCATTGCTTTCTGGACCCTCAGAACTCCAGATCAACACAAGCCTACTGGTTCTGGGTTCGCAGTATTTTCATCCCATGAAGAGGTCAGCCAAAATTCCCTTACTCATCTTTTCCTATTTTGTATAATGTGCCACGAGTCTCAGATGGTGGTTTCAGCTCCACGTGAATACATTCTTTTACTTTACGAGAATTTACTTTGTCTATCTACTGCTTCACTTATCAAATTTTTTAACATCCGTGGTCACTGTCTAACACCTTTCCAGGCCGCTGAAAGTCTTTGCATGAACGGGCGAGCTCTCAATGAGAAGGCTATCGAGGTTTCACCATCGTCAAGCCGCGTTCTTGACCGTGCTGCAGAAATTCTTACTCCTTTCCCACCTAGCAAAAACAGGCCTCGTCCTGGAGACTGGACTTGCCCGTCATGTGGGTTTTCCAACTTCCAGCGCAGAACCGCTTGTTTCCGATGCTCGTTCCCAGCGATGGGTGGTGGTCCAGCTGCTGAGATGGGCGGTGGATACGGTGGTGGTGGCGGTGGTTATGGTTATGGTCCACCAGCAATGATGCCTCCACCACAACACATGGGTCATCATGGAGGTATGGGAGGCGGCCACGGAGGTGGAAGAATGGGAGGTGGTGGTGGTGTTGTTCCTTTCCGTGCTGGTGATTGGAAGTGTGGATCTGAAGGGTGTGGTTACCACAACTTTGCCAAGAATGTCAGCTGCCTGAGATGTGGCGCGAGCCGTGCAGGTGCCGCCGTCGTTGCCGATTCCGGTTATCCTTCCCCGATGGATGCTGCCAATAACTATAGCATGGGGTCTAACTCCATGGCTGGTACTCCCGGTCCTGGTCCTTTTGCCTCAGCTGCTGGTGGCTTTGGTCCATCCGGTTATGGTGGTCAACACTTTGGTGGCCCTCCCAGCACTTACGCTCTCCCATCCGGTCTTGGTGCACCAACTGGTTCCTATCCATCGTTGAACACTCATTTCGGTCCAGCAACTGGTGCTCACTCCGCCGGTCCTTTCGATAGTCGAGCTGCAGAGGCTGCTTTCCAATCGGCCAGCAATGGTCCAGCATCCGCAGGGCCGTCAAACAACTTCTACGCTAACCAAGGTGAAAGTGATCCATTTGCTTTCCTCTCATCTGGAATCACCAACTTGTCTATGGGTAGTGGTGATGCTCGCCAAAACGGTGCTGCTGCTCCAAGCAAATCTCCAGCGTAAGACGTTCTTGATATTCGCGCTTTCCCTTTTCCATTCATACGTTTCGACTCTCTCTTCTGTGACTACATTTCAGGACGGCTTTGGGGTTCGAATGAAAGATAGACATTTATCGGTCGGGGCATTGTGGACATTTTACAATGGTTTATAAGGTGGATTTAGCGCATGCATGGGTGGTTGGGATGGGTAGTCGGTTGGATTGGTAGCGGTATAAAGAAAACGGCAGGGAAAATTTACACCACGTGGGAAATTGATATGGAACAAAGTTTGGAGGGCGGAGTTCTTTTAATGCGGAAGGCGGAATCTGACTTACGGGTTGCGAAGGGAAAGCGAGCAAATGAAACCGGATGGAATGCGCTTGATGGTGTGTAAAGGGACGAAATCGACTTGAATTGGTTGGATCTTGGCTTGGTGCATAGCGAAGGAGTGCTGCCCTTAATGCGGTTGGGGTGTTTGGATCGGGTCCTCGGTCTTCTCTGTCTAAAATCTGGTCTAATCTTCCTCTCTTCGTACGGGGGTATGGAAACAACGACAAACGCATTTTCGATCAAACAACAAAAAGCATGGCAATGGCGATGGATATTGGCAAGGGGTTTTTCGAGAAGGGATAGGATTTCTGCATGTTGTTCAAGTTAGTTTCTTTATTGCGCCTTCTTGTATTTCCCTTTTCAACTTGTGTGTGCTTGCGGTCAAGTTACCCTTACCTTGCTTTGCTTCTTGGCACTTATATGTCGAATATTTTGATTCTCTTCTCCTCTTTACTTTTTCCTTTATTACTTTCTGGGAGAAGGGAAAAACACATACTAGCATTAAGCACTTGTCGTTTATCTATTGATACGATGATTGGTTAGTTTGGAATGGGGTGTAGGCGGATATTTAGGACATTGGAGGCTGGGTTGCTAGAAGGTTTGATGATTTGATTGATGGCTGGGCTGGGGAATACTTGGGTCTGGATAGGGGTGGACGGATGGGAGGATGGAGGTTACTGGTTGGGGATGGTGTGATGAGGATGGTTAGGGGGTGGGATGGCTGTGCTTTGTTGTTTTTATTTCCTTTCAATGTAGCAAGTTTTTTTTCTCTCACGTCTTTTCCTATTTTGTGTTCATGTGTTGCGGTGGATGCAATGAGATTTAGGTGGTGGTGAGGAGTAGAGCGGCATGGAGTATGCAATTGGTGGCTGGATGACTGGGTAAGATCAGTAGTATAGTAGATAAGCTGGATGCAGATAACTCTTTTCTTCTTCACCAACTTAAATGAATATACAAGGTTGAAGTTGACTTTCTAGTCTGTGGCAGTGATTTTATTTTGATGTTGATATCGATAACAATCGTAAGATCTTACCAATGACTTGAAAGTATCTTATCTTTTTTGGGGGGAGGGTGTTCTTAGGTGTTTATTGATACAAGAGGATATGAATATAGATAGATATAACTCTAGGATTTGATTTTTCAATTGAACATTGGTATTTTTGATAATATCTCGAAGACCTCGTCTTGTTTTGTTTTGGTTTTCTATACTTTTTTGTTTGCTTTTGACTCGATTTTGATAAGATTTCCATTTGTTTTAATTTTTTTTTTCTCTTAAAAAAAGGAAACTAACTTTATATATTGCTGGTTTATTAGACTACAAAGTTCTAGATATTGATGTCATTATTATATCATAGTTGGGGAATTTAATGTCATGTTTAGTTGATACTTGATACTGTTACAAGATACTTATCAGACAAAAGAGTATACTCTCTTTTTGTGGTTGCCTAAAAGCATTTCATTCTGAAATTCTTGAATCCCGTATGCATCCAATCGACCCAATCTACGACCAGAGCTGTTGTCTTTCCTGAAATCCAGGATCTTCGAATTCGTTATTTTCAAATTCATCTTCATCTTCGTCTTCCCAATCATCATCATCATCCTCACTCTCTTCACCCCCATCATCCTCACTACTCTCCTCCCTCCCCAAAACCAAGCTCTCCAACCTCGCCATATTCATCCCCGTCCCCTCCCACGTATCCTCCATCTCCACCTCCTCCCCCTCCCCATCACTCATATACAATTCCTCACTACACGGACTCAAATTCTCCCCCGTCAACGGATCCACATACCCCCACAAAAACATCATAATAACATGTTCCTTCAAGCCCAATTCCCTCCTCGTCGCCTCACGCATCACTAGCTCATCAATTCGCATTAAATGCATTGATCCCTTTCCCCAGCCTTCCAGATGCGCACGTCCTATTTCCTCCGCTGGCACTCCAAACATTCCCTCCTGCAGATCTTCAGGTTGTATAAATGGATTATAGCTATACCGCACACTGTACGCATATAATTCATACAGATCCCTAAACCCCGTGCGCGTTAACAGACGCCAAAGAGGTGAAAGACCCCGTTGTCCTAGCATTAATTTGCGCAACATGTCGGAACCGGGTCCGTCGGTCGGATCATTAAATCGCATGTCGAGTTTGACGATAAAGTGTTGAATGTTGTAGAGATCTTGATCGGTGAAGAATTCGCGATTATGTATTAAACGGACGCGGTCGAGTGTGGTGGAGATATCCATTAGGAACCAGACTTTTTTGAGGGATTTGTTGGTGCCTGGGGGACAGCGTAGATGTTGTCGGGCGAGTGCGGCGAGGATGTCCCGTACGACGCGCACGCGGTGGAGAACCATTTGATGGTATTTGAGGGCGGGGACGCGACGGATTTGGCCGGAGTTGTTGAGATGGCCCAGTGGATCTGGGATGCTGAGTTCGCGGTAGAGGAAGAAGGGGTACGTTTTATAGCTGAATGGTGCTTGGTATTTGACAATGGTTTTGATAGAGTGTGCCATCCAGCCCGAGAGAATTTCATTGAAGCGTCGACTTAGACAGTACAGGGCGAGAAGCTGTTTGGGAGAGAGATGACGCATGAGGTCGAGTATGATTTCGGGGGTTAGGAGGAGAGATTGGAAGATATTGAAGGGTCCTTCGTTTCTTCTGGATAGATATGGTGCTGGTTTAGGGATTTCTTCGATTTCTTCTTCGAATTTGGAGTTGGAAGGAAGATAGAAGGAAGCTGGTAAGATGATGCCAGTAGCTGCGAGTTCGGGATCCGGAATCGCAGGTTCGTTTTCGAATTGAAGGTTATTGGACTCCTGTGTGGTTTTTTTGACATCGTCTTGAAAGATCGCATTATCATCGTCCATTTCCTCGACATTATCTTGTGGTTCAAGACCTAATTCCTCCGCCAAGCGTGCTGTTTCTGCAGACTCTCCAAATAGAATATCATCAACGTCCATGCCCTCCGGTGGCTCGAGGACTTTGCCTTTTCCTTTACTCTTATATTTCCTCACCAATTCTCTCTCATCCAATTCTCCATCCGATTCCGTAGCTTTACCTTTACCTTTCCACTTTTTGGCTGGTGATTCTCCCTCCAAATCATCATCTGAATCTATTGGTCTTACTTTTCGTTTTCCTTTGCCTTCTGCATTCGGTTCCAACTGATCTCCTTCATTTCCATCGCTAATTGTTCCATCATCCACCCAAGAATCAAAATCCATCGGCTCAAAATTTCCATCATTAACAGAACCCTCTGGTAATTCCTCTCCTCTTTCCTTCGCCGCCTTCCTAGCAAGTATTTCCTTAACCTTTCGTGCCATCATCTCCCTATAAGTCTCTTCCTCCCTCCTCACCTCATCCTTATCAATCCTCGGTCCATGTGTCAATACCTGCTTAACCCATTTCGGTACCCCTCTCAATTTTTCCTCTTCCTCACTATCCTCTCCATTCTCACTTCCTTCACTTTCCTCCTCACTCCCATCATCATCACCCTCATCCCCATTATCATTGATATTTTCTCCCGCATCACACCAAATAAACGACCTATCCTCCGCCATATAATAACCCTTTCCTTCCTTATGAAACGATCCCCTACACTCACACACAAATTCATCACTTACCTCTCTTCTCTTCGCTTTATCCCAATCCGTGATATTTCCCGCTGCATTAAACGCACCCGGGGCAATACTCCAAACGCGATTGCCGCTACCGATGATTGGTGGTGGTTTGTTGGGTGCATTGTTCGGGTTTATCTCATTGCTAGGGAATCGAGGTATGGGTGAGGGTGCCATGCCAATTGGACGTGGGATTGGATTGATATCAGGTGGTGGCGAAAGGACCTCGTCGGAATGAATTGACCAACCATCTGAATCGACTTCGATTTCTTGCTCTTGTTCTTGTTCTTCTTGCTGCCCTTGTTCCCCTCGTTCCTCTTGTTCTTGCTCGTCTTCGTCTTCTCGCTCCTCTTTCTGCCCTTGTTGATCTCGGTCCTCTCGATCATCGTACTGCTGTTCCTCTCGATCTTCATAATCCTGTTCTCCAGCCTGCAATCCAGAACCCGATACCTCCTCTTGCTGTTCATCCTCCTCACCCCCTTCAATCCGATCGGCTGATTCGACACCACTGTCAGCAAAATTATCGAAGTAAGAACCAGAAGGGGATATGTACTCAGAAGGTAGACCATGGTGATGAAACTGCGATGAGCCTCCCATGAGCATCCCACCACCGTTTGGGGAGAAGTGATTTCTATTTGTTGGACGAGATAGATGTTGATTATTGGTGTTGTTGAGTTGAGATTGTCCCTGCTGGTTTTGAACAGCATTGTTTTGTTGGGCAAGTGGAGTATGAAGTGCTGTTGAACCTAAAGGTGCGAATAGTCTTGAAGCTGATTGTGCAGTTGTATTCGAGCTCACCTGAGCGTAGTCCTTTGGATGATCTCCAAATATAGGGTTACTCAGATCGTTATTCGATCGGAGAATGAGGTGAGGAGGTACTGGTGGAAATTCAGATTGTAGGTTGTAACCATTCATCTGAGCACCTGAAGTTGATGCTTGTGGCTGAAATGGATTGCCAGTACGTCTTTGGCCAAATTGATTTGCCCAAGCTTGTCCCTGTCCCATTCCCTGATTTGTAGCCCCATCCTCATTCATAGAATGATGAATAACAGTAGAAGTTGAAGAAACTCGAGAGGATCCAGTTGATTGGGGCTCCGGCTGCATCTGAGCTTTTCTTGCATTGTATTTTGCCGTGACCAGATTGACATGGTCCATAAATGATTCCACATCTGCAGCACTATTGACTGGCAATCCTTGTTCTTTCATGTATTTAACTATGAACTTTTGCTCACTAGGTGTATAATCCGAGAGACTTGCTGGTTTAGGCTGGATGACGTTGGTATTCATCATCTCATTATTGTTCATTGAGTTGGAGGGTTGGAAGAGGTTGTTTGGTTGAAGTGCTTGTTTATTCTTGACGTGAGAGCTTCCTAGCGATTGGGGATTGTTTTGCATTTGATGCATGTCTCCTGGTGTTCCAAAAGAAGAACTGCCAAGTTGATTGCCATGTATCTCATTTTCATTGTTGAACATTGGTTGAAATTGATTGCTCATTGAAAAGCTAATATGAGGTCGAAAGCTATCATTCATCCGGGGAGTTCGTTGGTTGCGCTCATTCTGATTCATTCCACGACCACCAAAATTCTGATTGTTGTTCAACTGCGGATAGCCAGATATTTGTTGCATGTTGCTAGACTCTCTCTTGATATTTGGTGACAGCATAGCTTGAGAAGACAGATGAGTTAGATTATTGTTTTTCTTAAAGTGCTGAGATTGCATACCTGAGTTTTTCAAACCATTATCCATTCCATGTTGAGTGGACATATTCTGGAATCCTGATTGAGGATGATTATTGAATTGAGGATCTGCACTAAATTGTAAAGTTTGAGGAATTCCTTGAGAAATGTTGTTTGTATAACCTCCATGTGCAGAGATTTTTGGATTGAATTTATCTGACTGTGATCCAAAACTGGCATTCATCTGACCGTGAAATTCTGTATTATCTCTGAGTAGATGAAAGGGGGCATCTGGCTGACTATTTCGATAGGGTTGACTGAAAGACTGTACTGGTACACTAGTTGAAGCTCTATTGATGGGGGTGAATTGGTTAGTTGAGTTTGGTCGGGGAGTCGCGTCCGGGTCAGCAACTTGAGATTGAGAAGACGCTTGATCCCCAGAAGATCCTCCATCGTCTTCCATTTTTTGGTCTTGGTTATCATTGCCTGACAGTCCTCCTGATTCTTCATCATTGAAGTCTCGATTCTCAAATTCCATATCACCTGTGCCAAATGATAGACCTAGGCCAGTGCTGAAGTCCATTTTGTATGAATTTTGTGATAGTTCGAACTCCGAGATTGAGAAGGTTTGTACTTAATGAAAATCAATATGCTACAAATTGATTGATGATTGTATTTATGAGACCTAAAGAGAATAGATGGAGAGAGATATGTAGATTTTTGAATACAGTGAGAGATTTCTTAGTTGTTGTGTCTGTTCGGCCTTGGGTTTGTTTATTCTGCAGAGAATATAAATCAAATTTAACATGGAACTTCACCGAGAATGGTATGGAACATTACCACCAATAAGTATAAGAACGAAAAATACTACTGTAACCTCGAACATTTAAAATATCCGTGGTTTTTAATCAGTGAATGAAAAAAGTGAATTCACTGAAGAACCCATGAACCAATAAACAGCCCCCTTTAAAGCTTCATCCCAACTCGCCTATTTATTCTTTTCCCACTCGACCCCGTACAACAGCACCGAGCTCTGATCTATGAAAGGCACTATACTGCATTGCTATTTTACAAAGGCACGCGGATTGAGGGTTTATATGATAAAGTGACTTGAATATCATATCATGATTTATACAACAGATCTTACAACTAACTACATGCTTAGAAATCTTTGAAGGGCTTTCACAACTTCAGTTTCAAGTTTATAAAGAACTTGCTTATAATATCCATATTAAGTATATCCTATAAACCATATCATTCACTATCAGAACAAGGCCTGCCCGCAGCTTCCCCCGCACGTTGAAAGCCTGAGGTCTTCAGTTTTCCCTTTTAGGCAATATAAACTGTATCAAATAGACACTTGCATATTTCTTCACCAAACCTTTCAGCAAAAGCTCAGTAGAAACAGATGCCAGAACTACACCTTAACTCCACCGAATTCAAGGCCACTATAGCAATATAGACTGTATTGCAAGATATCTTGAAGCAAATGTACACATAAGTTTGTGAATTAGATTATTCTATTGATCGGCTTAATCAATGCCATGTCAATGCCCATATGCACCGCTCCTAAAGAATATGCTTGAGAACTGCTCAAAGGCTCAAGATTTAAAAGCACAAACGCCATCGCTAAAAGCACGCCCATTACCAAAAATAAACCAAATGCACCGGGTTTCAAGCAGCCCCTCCACCCGCATTTGATCCCTCACCTCCGCTCTGTTCTCTAACCTTCCTCATTCTCTCCTCGGCCGCCTTTGCCAATATCTCCCTCCTACTCATTCCCTGACTCGAAACTGAGCTTGCGCCCGTACTCTCTGCACCACCCGCATTCCCAACTCCTAGCACAAACTCCCCACCGGTCCATCCTCCATGATCATCTACCTCCTCTCCTCCATAATATTCTTCCTCTCCAACAGCATGACCGCCACTTCTCCAATCATTCCCCTCAACTTCTTTTTCTATCTGTTTACATAGATTCCAAAAGTTTCTATCATGGGGTCCCCATACATTATGCGCCAATTCGTGACACAGAGTTTTGCGAATAGTTTTGTAATCTCTATACCCATCATATGCATCGGTTCGTAATCTCAACTCTATTACCTCCCCTTGATTTCTATTGAGTCCCAACGTGCGAGATGTGCCTTCGTGATTGGAAGTTGTATGTTCAATCGGGTTCATTTCCGTAAGGAGCGGAACTGTGAATTTATGTTTTCGCATAGCTGCCTTGATACCTGCATCATCCTTGAGGCGTTGAAGGAACTGGAGAGATTTTGATGGATTGGGAAGGTACGGGAGAGGTCGGATAGTTTGAAATGTATATTGTGCTTCCTCTTGTTCTTTTTTCCAATCCCTCGTTTTATATGCGGATACTTTCTGCTTCGTGCTTGATCCAGACCCGTTGACAGCACGAGATGCAGCAAGTGCACCTGCGACGACTGAAGATGCTTCGGCGACGGTGCTACCCATCAATGTTATCTTTTTATCGGCTAGGTTTGTTATAGGAAGAGAAGGGTCTTTGAAGGGGACTTTCAAAAGCCCGAGTTTAGAAACCATGAGTTTTTGGTTTGAAGGCGGAATCGAGAGAGTGGCTGCGATGGAATCGGAGAGGTCTGTGATTGTCGCCGTGGAAGGCAGAGAGAATGTGTGAGGTTTACCATGATGTGTGATGGTTATAGAGACTGGATCTTGGAGGTTAGTAGACATGATGACTTCGGTGTCAATAATCTTTAGCTTCCAAAGTTCCTAAGAGTATATAATTATGGTTTTTGTTATGGTTCACAGCACAATATGAAAGAAAGAAAGCAATAGATATACTCGTGAAAGAGTGTAATAGATTGTATTGAAAGTTAAATAATATACATATTGAATAGTAAGTGGAAGTTTCTAGGCAAAAATGCGCTTCGTAATCATCATGTTCCCATTTCAAAATGTTTCGGGCATCGTCTCGCCACAAAGGACTTGAAATTCACGATTACATAATCCACTTCCAACCACCAGCCAAGCTTCCCCCGATCCCGCCGCCAATAAGTGCTAGTAACCATACATTTCCATCCCTGTTAGTACCTGTCTGTACCTTTTCTACAAGGCTAAATCGCGACTCAAATTTAGCACTTAGCTAAGCTTCATAGTTGCGTGTCCTCATATCCTCAATCAAACATCGACTACAATTCGAAGATTCGATGCTCAAACAATTGGAAGATTGAATACAATTGATTTGCTCGTCTTTTCAATTGAGAATTGAATACTTTTCTTTGAATCTTTGAAACAGAGTTGTTTGCGATTGCGCATGTGTAGGGAAACTCCCTTGACTTGCACAACATGAATCTTTTTCGAATCTTGGGTATGTTATTCCTTCCAACACCAAAATGTAACTTCGCACATCTTCAAGTCATGGACTAACATATTGTACTTTTAGGGGATTTCTCCCATCTTCTCTCGATCCTCATCCTCCTCCACAAAATGCACCAAACAAACGTACTTCTCCTCTCCCCCTGCCCCATCCCTCCACTCAAGCATCTAACCTAACCTCCCTCAGTCCTGCGCCGGTATATCCTTCAAATCGCAAGCGCTCTACCTACTCGTATACATCACCCGCTACCTCGATCTCTTCTGGACCTTCACCGATTCCCTCTACAACACCACTTTCAAACTACTCTTCCTCGCCTCCTCGGGCTATACCATCTACTTAATGACCACCTCCTTCAAACCAACCCACGATCCAAATCTTGATACATTCCGCGTACAATATCTCCTTGGAGGTTCCATCGTCTTGGCCCTCATATACCCTTACGCCTATACACCCGCTGAGATCCTATGGGCCTTTAGTATCTGGCTGGAATCCGTAGCTATCCTCCCACAATTATTTTTGTTGCAGCGAACAGGAGAAGCCGAGACTATTACAGCCAACTACCTATTTGCATTAGGAAGTTACCGTGCGCTTTATATACCCAATTGGCTGTGGAGATATTTCCGGGAATCGCACTGGGATGGAATTGCCGTGCTTGCGGGTGTGGTTCAAACGATTCTTTATTCGGATTTCTTCTGGATTTATTATACCAAGGTTATGAAGGGAAAGAGATTTACTTTGCCCGTATAAATACTCTAGGTTGTATGGGAGCTTTATTTTATTAAGGCATGAAGACAAACTGGAACTGGAGGAATTGGTGGGCAGATGAGGAAAAGGGGCCGACCCGACGGAAGAGGGAAAAGGATACTTGCCTGTACGAGGAGTGACTCTTTCTAGAGCCACTGACAAAACAATATATGCTGAGCATTATTTGGCGTTGGGTGGAGATGGACCTAGATTCTGCTTAGGGCACATCAGGGAGGCAATGAGGTTCGAAATTTTTCTCCGGCGATTTTGTACAGTATTTGTTAAAATGCATAGAGTGTGTGCCTTGATCCCTAGAAAAATGCGCCTCAGACTAACTAGAGTGATTGATTGATATGTTTTAGACCCATGTTACGTGCTTCACATTTCACGAATTCCTTCACATAATCTCCACACCTAGTGATATTCTAAAATTCTCTGAAATACTATTTTTTTCATTCGACTGCATACTACCCATATATACACAAACACCGTCTTTGCACGCAAGAAAACCAAGACCCTCTGCAACATTCCTCAAATACAAAAATCAAGTTCATGGCCCGTAAGCCACGCGACCACGAGGATTTTCGCTCGAGTAGCCCGGAGCCAGGAAATTAGTTTCGGGGTTACCTGTCTCTTTTGCTGCTGAACATCTGGCCATTGTTGGCGAACTGGAGTTTGAGTTAGCATTTTAATTGCTTGGGGTCGAAGGGAATCAAAGGGGAGAAGAGAATTGGGAAAAATGGATTGTAGATAAACTAACCTTCGTGAAATAACATCTGTGAAGTAAAAGTTGTCGATGACCTTCTTTAATGGCGCACCCGTTGGCTGGCTACCCTTGTTTTGGTCCACTAATTGCACCTTGCTCAATTGTTTCAAGGCGACTGGCTCAACGACGTCATAGCTTGCTAATGAAGGACTGATCTCGACCATACGATCCCGGAGAGCGGCGACATCATCATATGGCAACGGAGCACCTAAGAACTCACTAACTGCTCTGATGATCTTCCAGTCAGTTCTAGCGGCACCTGGTAATGAAGTAGCAGCACGAGTCATCTGTACACGACCTTCGGTGTTGACGTAGGTTCCTGCCTTCTCAGTATATGCGGCACCTGGAAGGACAACGTCGGCTATTTGAGCTCCACGATCACCGTGGTGACCTTGGTAGACAACGAAAGCGTCCTTAGGGATATCAGCGGCATTGAATTCATCGGCACCGAGTAACCAAATGAATTTGGGTTTTGTCTCAGCAACTGCTTGAGAAGGTGTGGTGAAACCAACTTCGAAAGCACCCGCTCTTGAGGCAGCACGTTGAAGAACGTTGTATCCATTCCACTCCTCGGTCAAGAAGTTCGAGGCATGCTTCTCAACGAAAGTACCGACCGTCTCGTACATAGCCTTGGCATCAGCGTGATCAGTGACACCTGAACCGACAATAATCATTGGTCTCTTCGCATCTGCAAGCTTCTTACCGAAGGGACCAGCGAGAGTGTCCTTCAAAGAGGCCGCATCAGTACCGAGGTGCTCGAATTCGAAAGTTGAATCCCATGTTTCACCTACAACACCAATCTCAAGATCGGAGCGCAACCATTGTTTGCGGATACGAGCATTAAGACCAGCAGCTTCATGTCGGGTGTTGCTTCCAACAATCAGAATAACATCAGCCTCCTCTACACCCCAAATTTTGGAGTTGAATAAGTAATTCGAACGAACATCAATTCCGTGAGGCATTGGGGCATTTCCAGAGGGTTGATCAAGAGCTAAGTTCTCGGAGCCGAGCTTGTTAGCAAGATCCTTCATAGCAACCATGGACTCAGTCTCGATAAGTTCTCCAGCAATAGCCTTAAATTCGTTGCCCTTTGGAGCGAAATCCTTGTATGCGGCACCAATCTCTACCAAAGCCTGCTCCCAACTGACTGGAAGGAATTTTCCATCCTTTTTAATCAATGGCGTAGTAAGTCTTTGAGTCTTCAATCCGTCACAAGCAAATCGAGTCTTATCGTTAATCCATTCTTCGTTGACATCATCGTTTAACCTAGGGAGAATTCTCATAACCTCGAGGCCTCTTGAGTCGACTCGAATATTTGATCCTAAACCGTCCAAAACATCAATAGATTCGGAGTGTTTCAATTCCCAAGGTCTGGCTCTGAATGCATATGGTTTTGATGTGAGAGCTCCAACAGGGCACAAATCTATAATATTTCCAGACATCTCGGAATCCAGGTTCTGTTCCAGGTATGTTCCAATTTGTAAATCATTTCCTCGTCCAGTAGATCCAAGTTCCGGTGCACCAGCAATATCATTTGCGAATCGAATACATCTTGTGCACTGAATACATCTGTTCATCGAAGTTTTAATGAGGGGTCCGATATTTTTGTCCTCAACGGCACGCTTGCCACCAACCTCGTGGAATCGACCACGATCGGCTCCATATCTCATAGATTGATCTTGTAAATCACACTCTCCTCCTTGGTCGCAAATAGGACAATCTAACGGGTGGTTGGCCAATAAAAATTCCATAACTCCTTCTCTGGCTTTATGTGTGAGGGGCGAATTGGTCTTGACAACCATACCGGGCTGGACCGGCCATGCACATGATGCAACTGGTTTTGGTGCTTTCTCAACTTCAACTAGACACATACGACAATTTCCAGCAATCATAAGTTTCCTGTGGTAAATATTCGTATCAGTGGGGTTCGGTAGTGTGCGCATCGTGTCGACTTACTCATGATAGCAATATCTACCAAAGTGTTAGCAGAGAACCCTAACCTATAAATGACCCATTGAATACTTGCCTTGGAACTGTCACTCCCGCCTTCTCACATGCCTGAATTAACGCAGAACCAGCTGTGGCGTGTCAACAACTTTTCTATCTTAATTGTAATCTATCCCATCATACCTTCTATCGAAACTTGTTTGCCATCTAGCATAGAGAAATTAGCCAAATCTCCTATAACATGCTTCGCAGATCCAATGCGCCTTACCAACAGTAAGAGTAACCTCTGCCTGTCTTCTATTTGTAGTTGCGAATGTTCTTGCAACACGGAAGCTCTGTCTACTGCCTCGCAAAGCGGATCTCGATAACGTTGACCTCAACATTGTGTTCTATAAGATCTGGGTATGAAAAATAAGAAAGAAAGAAACTCAGCAGTACAAAAGAGGTGGTGAGGGGAAACCCTTCAATTGAATACCTAATTATCTACTCTTTACCCCAAATCATTTGAAGCTCTCGTCGTTCGGATGTAACTTCTTAGCGTAACAATGGAATTTACTAATCCCGTTCCCCGTTATCATGATTGGATATTTGGTTAACCCATGCTGACTCATCTGCCACCCTATAAAGTTCTTCACTTTGCCAAATTTTCTAAATCTTTTCTTTTTCTTTTCTTCATTTAAATTGTAATGGACACTTTTATTGTGGGTGTACTTGTGTGAAGCAATTCACAATCAATCGAGTCCTCCTCTATCTTGTGTTCTAGAGGAACATATTTGAGCGCTGGAATGGATGCAAATGAAATCTTTTCTTACAAAAAAGCTTTATGAATGCGCAACTTACCGCCGGCTGCTACATACGACTTACGTATCATATATTTTTGTGTCTATTGATGGTTTCAAAGGGCATCATGTCAAGTTAGAAGGACTGAGAGAAGCCATCAAAAATTAGTAATTGTTATAAATTTCATATTGCCTTTGAGTCAAATTTACATTTCACGTGAACTTCAATTTGCTCACATCCTGTTGATGTGATTTCTTGTAATCTTATTTGTTTGACAGAGTGCTAGAGTACTAGTCACCTCTATGCCAGAATTGTTGCCCACACTATATCAACAACAAGCTGCAAAATTCTTGTTCATCTACCAAGAAACCGTTCCTTGTGATTGTGTTGATTCCCACAGCGATAGAGTACTGGTCATTTGTGCCCCATGAGCGGACCATGTCCATAAAGCAGTCCTTGCTTCGAACCGTTTCTGGCACGTTCATCCCAGTAACTTGGACGTACGCATATCTTCCGACTCCCACACTCTGCACCTGCTTTGATAGTACGGTGTCGTCTTGATCATGTCCATCGTTGGATGAATGTTAGAAATATGGCCCCAATCATAAGTCTACATTCCAAGTTTCAAACAAAACACCCAAGACTTGCAACAGAGTATCCCAATATTCCCGACATCTAACCATTGCCTAAAATACCAACTTATAATAACAGATAAGTCTCTAGATTAGATCTCCTCACCTATCCCATCAAAGTCAAAATAAAAGATCCCACCTTCCAATACATCATACCTACCTACCTACCTACCTACCTACCTACCTCCCTACCTACAACCCAAACATTCTCCAAATTCACCCCAAACACCTTAGAACCTCCCTCCCAATAACAAAGCCAAAAGTCTACCACAGCTATAGATAAATCTTCCGAACCTCTTCTCCTCCCCCCATCATCCTCTATCAATCTAAAATTCGTTTCCCCAACTCCATCCACAGTTATCAATACCCCAATCTCCACAGCTACATTTTTTCTCCTCTTCCTTTCCACTCCTTCCTTCACTGGCAAACAATAGGTAATACTCAAACTAAATAAAACATAAAGATATATATATATATATATATCACCATAAAATCACAATAAAACAACGTTAAACCTTACAAAGAAAAAAGAACATATTAATATTGATTGATACATAAATCAATCCCTGAACAATCTAAAGCCACTGTTTAAAAGTAATCAGGTAGCTACTATAGCCAACCTTCTTGGAATGGGTGTGGAAAGAGCGAATTTCTATTGCTATTCCTATTCCTATTTACCTTTAAAATGTAAAATATTTACATACTCGACATATGTATTCTTAATTAATTACCTATATGAAGCAGACATTCCATTCCATTCAATTCACAAACCCCAATCGATCCAAACCACAGCAGATAATTCTCACGGCGTACCTATTAAAATTCACAACTCCATAGGTAATTAAACCACCCTCACCCATTTCAATTTCAACTCATCTCGTCTCGAAAAGTCACCAATATTTCAAACTCCACTCCACTCCATCCTAGATCGCTTTCGCTTTTCCTACCCAAACCAGAAAATAAACACATCTCCATCCTATTTGCAAATTACCCATTTCGTCTCTCTCTCTCTCTCTCTCTCTATCACAAATGACATAACATTAGAACAATCTCCCAACACCTGCCTGTCCCTTCAAAGATTTCTGTCCAGCCCCCTTGATTGAAAAGCTGAATTTACCAGATTGTTTATCATTATTAACAGTAGTGGGCTCTGAAGATCTGCTAATAGGATCAAGATCCATATTCGAAGATATGTCATTTAAAAATCTGTCAGCTGCCTCGGTATGTTCTGAAGGCTTGCTAGCAGCCTCGATATCCTTTCGGAAATACACCAATTTAACGTGTCCGGATTCGCCAGTCGTTATGTTGGAGCAACGGAATGTTGATCCTGAGACGAACTTTGTGACTTTAATCTCGTCGCCAATGGAGATTGATAGCGTGTTATCTGAAGAACCTCGAGGGCTCTGAGCGCTTGTTGCCGTGAAGATTTTGTCAATACAATCAAGAGGCTCGAGATCGTCCCAATTTCCATCTACAAGATGGCCACGTTCGATGTCATCCCGATATTGATCAATGTAGAAATCTCCAGCAGTTTGTCCAGTTTTCAAATTATGTCCGGTGTAAACACCATTCCCAACAAACTCCATTATTTCGATGGCATCACCAATATTAATCGTGAGAGCAGTCAAATCCGAGGTATTTTGACTGCTTGTGGCTGTGAAGATCTTTCCAATATTATCGAGCGGATCAATATCTACATAAAAGTAAGAAATATTGAATTGTCCCACCCTTTGTGTTCTGAGGTTATATCCTTCATACATGGTACCCGAGTTATGACTGACGATTTCAATATAGTCCCCATATCTGATCTCCAAATCATCAGTCTTATCACGGTGTCTTGGAACCCAGTTATGTGTTGATTTGAAGGTTTTCCCAACATGTACGGCGAGGTCTTTTTGGCGGTCATCTCCAGATTCGTCTTTAGCATAGCCCTTGGCTCCATGAGTAGTAACACCTAAATGATCCCTAGGAAGTTGAGATTTCGCTACTGTAAGCTCATTGCCAACAGTTTCTTTGATAGAACGCTCGACATCTTTACAGAAACGATCCATGTCAAATTGGCCTGTCTTTCCTGATCTCTCGTTGAACCCTACATAGTTCACTCCAGAAGCGTACTTGGTAATTTTAATCTCATCGCCAATTCTTATCTTAAGGGTAGTCACATCTCTGGCATTCTTCGGACCCGAGGTGTCTGTTGCAATGAAGGTTTTGCCAATGTATGAAGTATTGCTATCCTTGGAGATGCCTTTAGAACTGGACAACTTGCTAGTTTTCTCGATGTGGGTGCTATCTTCAATATCCTTCGCATAAAAGTTCACGTTAAAATTACCTGTCTTCTGTAATGTCGTATTGAAACCTATATATGCGCTGCCGGAGTGGAACCTTATGATCGTGACATCATCGCCACGATTTATCACTAAATCGTAAAACTGGTTGGAATATCTCGGAGCGTAAGTGCTTGATGATATGAAAGTTTTACCAATTAATTTGCTGTGCTCGATATCCTGTAAAAAGTATTTGACGTTGATTTGTCCTGCCTTATGTGAAGTCAAATTGAATGCGTTATACCCGGTTCCCATTACATGGCTAGAAACTTCGATTTCGTCGCCCGTCATTATATCCAAATTATAATGATTGCCACTTTGAGGATACCAGGTAGTTGACGATATGAAGGTTCTGCCAACTAAAGCATCGATGCTCTTCTGATCTGTAGGAGCTGTAGAAAAGATTGGCGAATGTCCGCCACCTCGCATAGTGGACGAATTGGAGGACCGTGACGACGAAGGTGGACTATGTACCGGACTCAAGTGATGGGGGCGGGGTGTGAATTTATTGGAATCTTCGGGAGCGCCTGGCGTAGTAGGATTCTGCGGCAGATCCAAAGGATCTGAAGGACGCCTTGAAGCACCAGGACTTTCTGGACCTGTCGGTGGATTCATTGGAAAAGAGATCTGTTGCAAAGAGTTTGAAGGATTCGTGTGCGGGCTTCGACTCGTGGGGTTCCAGAATGGGTCGTCAAGACGGACCTTCTTTAGAGCGCTGCCAGTATACTCCTGCGGACTTTGTACCAGCGATCTGTCCGGAGAACCCTTTTCGGCGTTGGGTGGAATTTGAATTGATAGTGTCTTCTTTAAAGGCCTGGCGCTGTTCTCGGATGGAGTCTGAATTGTGACTGACTTCTTTGAAGTGCCACCACGTATCTCCAAAGGACTTTGTATCGAAGTTGATTTTTTCAGAATACCAACTGGCGTATCCCGGGGACTTTGCATTGAAACAGACTTCCTTTTCAATATCCCTGCAACAGGTTCAGATGGGCTTGGTACAATTAATTTCAGTCGCGCATTCTTCAAGATACCTCCAACCTTGTCCGTTCCATTGCCATCGAGGATCCCTTTGTCCAACGATTCTTCGAATCTCGTCACGAAAGGCTTTACATGGTTATCATACTCCTTCACCTTACTAATCGCATCTTCAAGCAATCTCTGCAGATCCTTATTGAGCCTTTCTTCGATCTCAAAAGGTGTAATGGTATTAGCCGATGTAAAAAGTTCAGTCGGTGATGCATTTGACGAATTCATTCCCCCCATCACCAAATCTCCTTCATGATCCTTCCCACCCTGTCTATTGCTGCCGGGCTCCGGGTCACAAGAGCTCTCGAAATCCCACTCATACTCTTCACTCTCGTGTCCCTTCATTTCCTCCACTAACCTCTCCTTTCTCCTATTCAATTCCTCCCTGGGAACCGACAAAACTCCATTCTTTCTATCCTCCGCTTGCAAAAGTAACAACCATTTCGGACCTCTCAACCAGCGAAGATCTTCAAGCTCCTTTTCATTCCTTCTTTTCCACGCATCTTCTTGGATAGAAGCTGCGCGTTCTCCGTCAGTGGGACGGGAAGTGATTCCATTCCTACTACCCTCAATAGCACTCTTCTGCTTCGCGATATCATCTTTGAATTTTTCAAGCAAGTTCTCCTTTTCAATCACGTAAGCTTTGACGATATTTGCACGAACTCTATGGTGATGACGCCTCAAAATCTTGAGAAGGGCATCACGTTCAGTGGGGAGAGGGGTAGTAGGGAGTCCTGGGAATGGGACAAAGATTGATGCATCTAGAGCGGAAGTAAGAGGTACCTTGGGGTTCGTCAGTTATTATTCTTGAAAGAACTGCACATGAAGTGGAGAGATAGGATTAGGACGAAGGGAAGGAGAAAAGATAGGTGTGAAATGTAACCATCGACATCACGTGTGGACGTGAATCAAACTCACATGGCATAAACGCGTTCCCAATTCATGTGTTTGCCCCATGGTGCAACACACACTTAGGAATTAGGGAACTTTTCCAATAGCTAGCTCTGACACTTTGACCATCTGCTCCAATGTATTTTGATGGTACCAAAGAGATTTTGTGTAGCGCTAACAAGTTGTGTTCGGATTTTTACTTTTCTCGTGGTAGTTTTCAATTATGTGGATGGAAGATGAAGAAGATCGAGGGTTTGGTGAGTGGGGAACAACCGTTGGGATTCTGAATTCTGCTTGCTTACACTATCCCTGTCGCTCATGACGACAGTGGATCTTGATTTCATTGTACAGTAGGTACTGAGTATTGGGTAGTTGTAGTATATCAGGTACCTAAATATATATTGATCTCTTTATCACCTCCGAAATTAGAAGATAATAACCTTATTTACAGGTATATAGGTACCTAGCTAGGTATTTCACTTCCCCGCAAGTTCATCTCATGTTCCCTAGCAAACTACTCTATATCCGTCTCATCCATCCCAATCTCATCCCATTCTATCTCATCTCAACTGTCAACCAATCCTATAATCCTAAGTAAACGCTTCCAAATCCTCTCCATATTCTCTCTTCTACATAAAGCATTAGATCATCAAGCCATGGGTCAAAGCAACCACTACCGTCTACCTAGCTTAGGTACCTACCTACCTAGTCTAGTCATTCTCCCCACAGTCAAAGCTTCACCACTTCAAAGCTTGGAGTTTTGACCTCTTCCACTTTCCTCTCGATACAATTTCCTCCATACACTCACTCACTGGTGGTACTGTACTAATATAGCAATCAAACTCAAGAGCTCAAATGCCTACCTTGAACCCAAACTTATATCCCCAATCCCAACAACACCAATACCAAAATCAACAATAACACATAAACCCCCCAAATCATCACCATTGAATCATCGATCCAACGCCTCCCCACTTAGGTACTTCCCCTCTTTAAAACAAAGTATTTCCACCTCTATTACAGTTAACGCCGAAGCAAGATCTTAGCAATCGGAGTTTTGTGCATTGCCGCCCCACGAGCAGATGTAGATTGGAGTCATAGCTATAGATTTAGAGCATTTGATCCTATAGATGTGTGGGGAAGGATTGGGAGTTATAATTGTATATATATATATAGGTACCTACCTATGGATACCTTTTCTGTGAACTTTATTTCTTTCGCTTTTGATATAACGCTCTAAGTATCTATATCTTATCTATTTGACTACCTACTCACCACTACACAAACACGCACAAGATACGACGAATCAAAATGCCATCGGGAGGATGCTTCTGTGATGCGGTAATTATCTTCTCTTCTTCTTCTATTATCTATATGGTTATTATGTCGTATATAAAATTACAATATCTATCTATATTACACACGCTCATCCCTTCTTCCTACATGGATGCTGACCTTTGTCCCTAAAGATCCGCATAAGCTACACCGGCGAACCAGATGCTCATGTTCTATGCCATTGCAAGGATTGTCACAAGATTAGTGGCGCGACGTATAGTAACAATCTCGTGCTACCAGAGGGGCAATTCAAGCTTGAATCGGGTTCGTCTTTCCTCTTTTTCTTCTTCTCCATCCCCATTTTCCTTTTTCCCACCCTCCCCTCTCTTAACAATCACTATCCCATGTCCAACCCTAATACGCCCAGGTAAACCCAAAACCATCACCAAAACAGCCGACTCCGGCAAGAAAATCACCTCTCACTTCTGTGGTGATTGCGGTACCACTCTATACCGAACTGGCGACACTTTTGCCAACCAGGTTATTCTCAAAGCTGGTGTTCTGGACGATGAGAATTGGGCAAATGAGAATGTTCCCAAGGGCGAGTTGTATGCTGGAGGAAGGGTAAAGTGGGTTTCTGCTATCCCTGGTGCTGCCCAGATTGATAAAATGCCTTCATAAAGGAGCCTGTGAGAGGATCGATTTGGTGGATGAACGTGATAGTTATATTGGGTATAATGTGTTGGGTACAATACATCCCTATCTTACGTGTTGGAGTCATCAATTCCGTGAATTGCTTGTCGATCAATATGTGTAGAACGTCTGGGTATTGTGCTGGCTCTTCGTCGCTGCTATGAGTTGTATTTTCGATGATTGAAAGTGATGTCACCGAGAAGGTAAAACTTTCCTCACGTATTCCCTCCCGATCCTCAATCCTTCTCTTACAAGATCTTCCACTCTCCTATCTTTCTTTCGTCTCATCCACAGCAGAATGAGGCCCAATAGCGCAATATCCACCAAGCAATGCTTGATGGCAATCCATATAAACCAAGCCAGCCATTTCCTCGGAGATCTTGATTTCTTGCCCTGATACTCCCTTCCCGTGGCAATCTGCTCTCTCAGTGCTGCAATCTCAGCCGTCATTTTCACCAGCACCTGTTCCACGTTCCTCCTCCATTTTGTCTTATTATTTTTACCGTCCGTAAATTCGTCTTCGTCTCCGCCATTATATCCCACCACCCTTCTCTCAGAATCTCTCTCGGCCTCATCGTCTTGGCTCATCGGACTCAGTACTCTCATTCCACCTTCAGTTCCTGATACCGGTGGTTGATATTGCCTCGGTTGAGTCGTGTAAGATGGCACACGTCGACCATGCGAAGATCCCGTAGACGATGGACTATTGTTCTTTATCTGATCCCAAACGAATTCTAATTCTGCAACCAATTCTCTTGCATCTCTGCATTGCCAAATGTGAAATTAGCTTATTTATCATACCCGCAGACCGAGCTCCCAAGCCAAGATCCATGACTTACGCAGTAGTACTAGCATACTTATGCATAGTATCAATTAATGCTTCAATATACCTTCTCTTGGCTTCAGTCCTACTGACTCCTCTCTGTGCATCCCACGCATCCCATTTGTCTCTTTCCCTCTTTAACTCTTCCCCCTGCAATCCCCCTTCACCATCTTCCCCCTCACCTCTCGAACTCGGCCGCATCATGACACCATCCACGTCTCCCTCCATAGCCTGCTTGTATAATCCATAGAGACGCAATCGATCTGCCGGAGGGGGTCGCGATGCTCCGGTTTTGGGTATCTTCTTCACAGTGTTGAGCGCGTGGACGAATACTCGGTCTAGCATTTTAGGTTGAGTTAGAATAGAACAATCGAAACACTCGAAACACTCGAAACACTTTGCAGTATTGTTGGGCAGAATATGGTACAATAGGGCACATATGCATCGTGAATCAACAACGCACTTACCCACAGAATCCGCCATCTTATCTCGAATGCTTTCCTTTCTCTCGCATTTATCCAAATATAGAATTTCCAATCAAGATTCTTTCCTACTACACCTATTCTCGGAGGAAAATCCAAATCCTCGCAACTTCCAAGCAAATAGCTCAACAGGCAAAGAGATATTATTAAAAATAGTAGAGTTGAAGATTGTAATGAAAGGAGATGCAATAATTAAATGATTTATCATGCGCATCTTCGCGTTTGTACCTGCAATGCATGCGGTTAAACCGAGGCTCGAAGAATGGAGCGATGCAGGGATTGGCTATGCCCGGAAGTGCCGCACTAGTACCTTGAATTTCACTGCTGACCCCTGACCCTACATGTTTTCCATGTCGTGAAGTTCTCTGTAAAATGACAGAATGGTATTGGGGGAAACGCTGCTGTTCCCGACAGACGGGAAGTTGGGAGACGGCAAGTCGAGACATGTCAGTGTATGAAATGGAATTTTTTGGTGAAGGTTTTTGGGGATTTTTACGTTAGCGGTCCACACCGATATTTTGAAGGCATGTGGAAGAACCAGTAGGATGGTAACACGGTCTGTTGGCTAGTTAGACATGGATCACTAGAAAATATGTATGATGTATTTGGACACCTCATGAACTCTTTTCATACAAGTAGCTTGTGCTAATGCAAATGCAAATGGTTGATTTGTTTCATGTCTTTATGGGGACGTATTTCTTGGGTATCTTTTCCCATCCAGCTAGTAACTCCTGAGCAAACGCCAATGCCATCAACTCCATACCATATTGACAACCAATTAATCTCTCAAAGAAGTCTCATGAATGCAAGCCTTCGACTGTCTATCTGTTCGAATATATCCCTCGTCTACAATCGGGCATCATTGATATTTTCTTCCTGTTTCTCAAGCGCAATTCTTTCCTTTTGCTGTTGTGCATTGTAAATTCTCTTTTTCTCCAAGTACTTGCACATCATCTTCTTGTTCTTCAAAGCCATATCCGCAGCTTTTAAACCGGCCTCCTTCTTGCCATTTGCGGTTCCAAAACCAATTTGCTTGTCAACCTCACCCCATCCATTAAGAAAAACACCTATTGTAAATACTGGGAGTTTAGTGTTTGGGTCCTTTCGTACTGGCCTGATGTCCTTGTATGTCAATCGGCTGATTTTAGAGTTTAGGGCTTTCTGCAATTTCTCCTTGGCGTTGAGTTCCACTTCAGTTACATGATGCGTCTGAACGTCATCAACTGCTCCTCTCAGTCTCCATAATGGACTATCCAGTTTTTTTTCACTTCGCTCTTCCTGCTTGATCTCTTTTGATAATGTCATAGCCCAAAGACTCTTCAACCATTCCGATGCACGTGCCACCCCATGTTCTCGATTTGAGAGCAAAACAGCTGCGACATATGATTCGAAGATATCTCCCATAATTTTAGTTGTGTCCTGGTTCTGGTATTGTTCTGGCAGTCTGGCGCGCTTGTCGAAACCATATTTCCGAGCATAATCCGCCAAAGTGATATTTTTGACAAGTCTTTCGCGAAGTTGAGAGCACTTTCCAGGCAGTAAAGCAGGGAATGTTTGTGAAATGAGAAGCGTGGAAATGTTGTAGATATAAGCATCTCCAACCCATTCCAAGCGCTCATAGCTCAAATCTGAAATGTCACCAGAACCGTAGCCATGATGAGTAAATGCTGCCACCTCAAGGGTAGGATCAAGCACTTCTGGAAGGGGTGGGAGCTCCGTTGGGATTGAAGAAGAAGTCCACGGAGTAAGCTGAGCAGGATATATCACTTTGCCTGTATTTTGCTTGCCAAATTCTTGCGATATCGCATCAGCAATAGGATTGTTATGATCTAGCTCCGGCTGCAGTTGGTTTCTTAATGTATCCCGAAGCTCGAGGGCTCCTGAAAAAGCCGTCTTACCTATCACGGTCTCAACTTCGCCCACTCCACCTTGATCAAGGTCTTCTAATGCACTCAATAACTTCCAGGCTTTTTCATGTGACGAATAATTTACCTGCAATATGTGTGTTAGGATCATAGATGTGTTAGCGTAAATTCACTTACATTTCTTTTCTTGTGCTCCTTTCCGATACTATTTTCAAAAGGGAATGGACGTTTGGATGACATCTCTTGCTTGGATGGTTTTCGCGATTTTGCTTCTGGATCGTAGGCATGCAATATTACAATTGTCGAAATGCAAGTAACTGCTATTGCTGATATTTCTGGAATTCAAAAGCTCATTCGTTGATATTCAAGTCTTGTGAAGTAGAACCGTAAATGGTCAAAGCACGAAATTCCCAACTCTAATATAGATCTCCGGTAGTCACAACACGTGATCTTCCGGATTAATAACGGACCGGGATGTTAACGGCGCCCGCTAAAATCTTATAGAATCAATAAACCAGATTTGAGGAGCAAATCGCTCATATTGCCAAACATGTCGGTCGCGAAGTCGAGATTGCTGGAATTGATGAAGGTAGGGACTCGCATATTCTGCGGTCGAAGGTCTCAGGACTAAGCTCAACTCTACAGGTCCAATGCCGGATCTTCTCAACTACATTCAACCCCGACAGACTTAGAACAGGAAATAAGATTCTTCGACAGAGATTAAAGGGACCAGCGTTAGCTGCATACTACCCACGAAAAATGGCGACCATAAAAGATCTGCAGAAGGCCTACGACGAATATGACGTCGAAACTTATGACGATGATGAAGAAGATAGATTTGAACACATTACTATGTAAGCGTATTCCGTGCATCTTGAAGGACGCCGCACTGACAATAATTTAGTCTGAAAGCAAGAGGAAAGGGAGCACCGAAGAAGAAGAGGACTGCGGAAGGTATGTGGTATGCTGTAGTAGGAGGGCCTTCGCTAATAAATTGGTTCAGATTCCAAGAAGTTCAAGGGAAAGAAGAGGTAGACGGAGGAAGGCTTCATGTAAAAAATAAACTATGTACAGCATTCTATAAAACTGTAGCAAAACCTGGCGTTTGGGGTCAGCTCCCGGTGGAGTATTGTGGAAATTTGTTTGAGATATTACCAGGATCTGGAATGCAAAGAGCAAAAGCTCAGTCGAACGAGAAAGTTTATCACGAAGCTGCACATACACCTTCCATGCTGAAGTCTTTGGAAGCTTGTTTGAGGATCCCAATACTGCTCATGATGCAGCTTTGAGGGAAATAGCTTCTTTCACGGTTGAAGAGCGTTGGGGTCATTTCGAATCAGTTCAATTCTGCTCCGCATGGTTAATAGCTGCGTGCCTATGAAGAATTCCTTCGAATTGTAGTATGGAAGTATAAAGTAAAGGGTCGCACCTATAGAATTTCCTGCTATGATTGAAACACATAATTATCCTTTCGCCCTTTCTATATCTTTACCTAGGTTGCAATTTCTTTGACTACCTAGATATGGTAACAAAAGACCTGTTTGAGACCGGAATTTTATGTCTGCCCGGGAGTAGATTCACACTTACCAAATGAGATTCTAAAGCTAGTGGAAATCTTTTCATAGAAGTCGTGCTTGTCAGGCGTCTAGTGGTAAGAAGGTAACACAATGAGAAGAAGTGGCAAGAGCGATCCTGTCTGGAGCTTCCCATTCATTGAAGCTTCCATTTCTTCGCTCTTGCACTATTTGATTCATCTAGTTTTCCACAAATATCTGATCCGATTCTGCTCTCCTCCGATCTATACCTAAACGGAGATCTCTCCACCTAATTAATTATATAAAGACTTTAGGAATTGAGATATGCGAGACGATAGAGCAGAAGATTTCCTGAGGTGAATATAAGCTCACTGATCTCGCACAAAATCACTTTCGACTTTTCTCTCTCATTGATGACCTTTACTCTTTCTTCAATTTCTGTCATTCAGAATTTAAAAAATCATACTTTCATTTTTTGCCTACCATTTGAAAAGGGGATAGAGCAACTGCAAAGGATAGACGTTACTTCTCTATCTATCTAAACCTCTTAGAGCTACGACTCTTATTTCTTTTCTTGATCTTTCATACCTTCATTTCTGTTCATCTACTTCCATCTCATCTACGAGTGAGCCTTTCAACAATCGTTTTCCATCTATTCAGTCCGTACAATCTGCTAAAGGCCACTACTTTCCTTTGACAACTCTTTCATTGAGATATCCTACAAGCAACATGGCTTCCTCAGTTGCTTCCAATGGATCACCAATTCTTCGTCGTACAATGGATCGTAGCAGCCATGAGAACTCTGGACTTGGTGACGATACCGTTGATAAGATTACTACACGAATGGTTTGTTACCCTTGCTTCAATCATCATCACTACTTTTCCTGTTTATTGTCTCTTCTCTGCCTTGTCAACTTGCCATTGAACAAATCTAGTATTTCTCTCAGTGCCATTTCTTTTCCGAGTGCACAACAGCATAATTCTCGCAGGCGGTCTCCAAATCAAATACTATCTATTCTATCTCATTTCCAAATATTCTGCAGATCTTAGTGACTAATTCTTGATCCAGGACAATGCTAATACTCTCAAAAAGGCCGCCACAGCCCTTTCCACTAACAAGTTGGGCAACCAGGCCGCTCCTAAGGTAACCTTCTCATCTCATTATTGCTTAGATCCTTCACTAACGGATACAGAAGATGAAGTTGAGCCACGAGACTTTTGTCGCCCCTGCTGCTGCACCTCCATTCCCATGCTCTTCTTTCGATACCATGCCAAACCCTGTCGATAAGCTATTGGCCAAGCTTTCCGAGCAACAAGCAGTTCTCAATCGACAACATGAAGCTCTGAGAAATTCGGATGACTATGGCCCGGGAACTTCACGCACCGTTGACTACAATTCTGCTCCTACGTCAGTCCCAATTACACCTGCCACCGAGACTTTTGACTCGGGCACGGCTACAACTGCTCCCACTACTCGTCCTCAAAGTCGTGGCGATGGTGACAATCAACCCAGCGCTGAAGAGGTCCTCCGTCTAAAGTTTGAGCTTGAGGCTGCAAAGGGAAGAATTGCACGAATGGATCAGGAGCTTGCACAGAACCGCATTACAAAGCACACTATCGATCAAGCTATCGGTAGTATTTCCGAAGCTGACTTTCCCCTTGGAAATGTCTTGGACAACGCTGCCGATATCCCTCAAAGCCACTTCCGTCCCCAAGTGGTGCGTGAGAGCTCCTGGGCTACTCAGGAAGACGCACACTCCGATCATAGTGATGCTCTTTCTGCGAGTGGTTATAATCGTACTCGAGCTATTTGGGGTAACAACAAGCCAAATTTCCAAAATGCTCCGCCAATGCCTTCTTTTCAACCTTCTGATCCACACACTACTGGACAGTGGATGGGCCGTGGTGGCTGCAATCAGCCCTTTGCTGAGTCGAACATGTCGTTTGGCGGACCACCTCCAAATTCCTTTCGTGGCGAGAGATACGAGCATGATATGTCGATGCCAGGTGGTGGAGTCCGTCGCACTAACGGCAGCAGATTCCATAATCGTAATCTCGGTTCTGTTCCTTACTCCAGCAGCTCAAGCTCTTTCGACGGTTTTACACCGTCTTCAAGCTCGTATGGATCCATGGGTGGAATTCCAACTCCGCTAGGAAGCCAAATGAACATGGGTGTGAATATGGGGAGTGGCATGTACTCAGGCTATCAACCTCAGCCAATCGGCACACCTCTGTCGCCACATGCACCAGAGTTTACTTCAGCCAGCGGAACATGGAAGACTGAAGTAAGAGTCAAACAACTACAACTCATTGAGCCCCATTAACTAACCAATCTTTAGTCGGTCGCTAACGAAGGTCATCAAACTTATCTACCAACCACCGAGCCCCTGAATTACCGTCGTCTTTTAGACCGCACTGTGAACTGCAACTGGAAGTATATTGTGGACAAGATTGTCTGCAACAACGATCAACAGGCTTCAATCTTCTTGCAACAAAAGCTTAAGGTCGGTACAACCGAGCAGAAATACGATATTGTTGAGGCTATTGTTGCGCAGGCTTATCCTCTAATGGTCAACCGCTTTGGTAACTTCTTGGTTCAACGATGCTTTGAGCACGGTACTCCAGAACAAGTCATCAAGATTGCGGAGGCTATCCGTGGCAACACTCTGAATCTGTCCATGGATGCTTTCGGCTGCCATGTCGTCCAAAAGGCCTTTGATTCCGTTCCTGAGGATTACAAGGCCATCATGGTTCATGAACTTCTTCGCAGAATCCCAGAGACCGTTATTCATCGATATGCTTGTCATGTTTGGCAGAAGTTGTTCGAACTCCGTTGGACCGAGTCGCCTCCTCAGATCATGAAGTACGTCAATGAAGCCCTTCGTGGTATGTGGCACGAGGTTGCTCTTGGTGAGACAGGTAGTTTGGTTGTTCAAAACATTTTCGAGAACTGCCTCGAGGAAGACAAGGTACGTTTTCAATTCACCTGTTTTCGAACCGAGTTTAACTGTGACACAGCGTCCCTGCATTGAGGAAGTCCTTGCTAGCATTGACATCGTCGCCCATGGACAATTCGGCAATTGGTGTATTCAACATATCTGCGAGCATGGAGCACCGGCTGATCGTAGCCGAGCCATTGATCATGTTATCCGCTATGCCTCTGAATATAGCATGGACCAATTCGCATCTAAGGTTGTTGAGAAGTGTCTGAAGATTGGCGGAGTCGATTTTCTTGGCCGTTACCTTGACCGTGTATGCGAAGGCCGCCTTGATCGTCCCCGCATCCCTTTGATTGATATCGCCAGTGACCAGTATGGTAATTACCTGATCCAGTATATATTACAACACTCCAACCCTCAACATCGGGAAATTGTTGCTTCTCACATCCGCAAGCACATGGTCTCCCTTCGTGGTTCCAAGTTTGGCTCTCGAGTTGGCATGCTCTGCACTAACCCTGCCCTTCAAACTCGTCCAGGTCCAGGTTCTGGTCCTGCTATCAGCAGCGCTCCACCACCACGCATGCCACCATCAAATGTTCGATATGGTGGTACTTACCGCTAATATCTTCCAGGCGCTCATTTGCATTTGCTCCTTCATCATATTGCCTTTTGTGTTCGGGGTTTCCTTACGATCTTTACAAAGACATGATTTTATGCAACCAAGATAGAAACACAACATATCCTCCGGGTTTTTTGTTTTCCGGCTTTCAGTCTCTCATATCTATGGACTATTCCCGCTGGTTCTTCTTTGCCCTGCAGATACATGGCCAAGCTTGTGTTTTGCAAGCTTTCGCCTTGAATTGGGGTTTCCCTTTGTCGAATTACGATATGTCCATTCTGTTTAATCAACATTATCTTCGAAAAGTTATTCTACCATAACGAGTCATCCTAAGCTGAGGACTATCTTCAGTGCTTTGGACAGATCATAGTTACTACTTTTGCATTACATTATGCGAGGGTGATATATCTTCGAGGCTTTTATCGCCAAAATCTGATCTTCTTATCGACTTTTGCATCATCCATGTGTGGAGGTTTACTCCACCCTTAGTGTTTGTTCTCAGATCAGATGTACACTCTTTCCTTCTTTTTTGTCAGATCGAAATCTGCCTGTGTGGTAGGCACTAATATGGTAGAGAAGTCTGATCATACTCATATACTTCATTGTGCTCTTTCTGCTTGTACTTAAAAACTAAAGAAACGCCTAGAGCTTTTTTATATAGTCAATCATTAGTAAATACAAAGCCTTTGGTCAATATTTCATGTATCAGGTTCATCGTTAGTAGTGCATTGCGGATGGGTTCAAGTAGCTTGATATTTTGTAAGATTAGAATAGAAATGTGCAGTAAGAAAAATAAAGCGAAAACCGAGTCTGTATTTTGACTACAAGTGAATAAACACAACGAACTGTTTCACCACATGTCGTGTAGATACATATCCTGCATTCATTAACAACAGAACTAGACCATTTCGAGATTACAGCCTCCCAAACTTCAATCCCTGAAATCAATCATCCTCAATATCATCATCACTCAGAACGAACTTCTGCTCTAGCTGTTGCACCGGCATCGCTCTCTCACCACCGATTCCCTTTTTTATAACCGGCCTTGCCTGTTTATTTTTCCTTGTGGGTGTACTCACACCATCCGGTTTATCCGTGGCCCAATTTTCCGTATTATTTTTTGATTCGTCGTCGTCTGAGGAGGTGGCAGTCTCGTCGGCAGTTTGTTGCGGACCGATGCCTGTGAATGTTGTTATTTTTTCGAGGGATTTGATGAGGGGGTTAGTTGGTGATGGGAAGGTGGCGCGGGATTGGGATTGAGATTTGCATTTGAATTTGCAAATTTGGATCATGTAGGGGAGACGCTCGAGGAGCATTTCTGTGCGGGCAGAGACACCGAGGCTTAGAAGTGGAGGAGAATTTTCTTCTTTGGAAGTGTTGGGGTTAGATTTGCTGTTTGATTTTGATTGTGATGACGCGGGAACGGCGTTCTTAGTCTTCCAACTTTCCACTGTGCCAGGTTTTGGACGAGCAAATGCAGCGGCGCCGGAGGTAATGCTTGCAGATTCTATGTTTGTGAGATCGGCCTCTCCTTTAATTAAGCGTGTAACCCATAGATCTAATGTACTTTCCATTTCCTCTTTCATGCGCCACAATTTAAGACTAGTGGGATAAAACATTTTGTGTGCATCTGCCGCTTTGCCAGTTCTGAATCCGGCCGCTGCGGGAGCTTTGCGAGATACAGGGTGGGGAAGAGAAAAGAGGATGCCACGGACGGCGATCTGAAAGGACATCTCATCTTGGCGGAGTATGTCTCCTCCTGTCCCTATTATGCCGCCACCAAAGCCCGAGGATTGGAGAGAACCATCCCAGGACGGGCAGAGGAGTTCGCTATCGGAGAGCGCGTCAATGCATCCATTGACGTGATCGAGAGAGGAGAATTCGAAGGAAGAGGGCGGTGCTTCACATGAGAGAATGTAGTTTTCGTGGAGGGCAGCGATGAACGTTGGAGTGTCGGTGCCAGTCTCATCAATGAGCTCATTTATGTTTACTTCGGATTTATTGGGACGTGAGTGATGAGATATGAAGTGTGGTAAAGATTCCACATATCCTGGTGCCCTTGATTCGCGTTTGTTATATACCACTTTACCTACAGCATGAAAGATTCCAAGGCTAGCTTCGCGGCGAGTGATCAGTTCCAAAGAATCCTCTTCCATTTTTGTCAGCAAAGTATCTTTGCTTTTTTTCTTGCCTTTTCCAAAAACAACTTTGCCTCCCCAATCATCAACGTCCCCTCTCAAACACATGAATTCCAGAGACCCAATTGCGCTTCTGATATCGCCCACCTCACCAAGCCTTCTCAACACCTGAGGCCCTGGTGTCTTTCTCCTTCCTGACTTCCGTGACTCTTTCTGAACTACTATCTCGAGGGCCTTTGCTAATATTGTAGGGGCAATAGCATTAAACTCTATAATTCCTACACCCGGATGCTGGAGAATTTCTGCCCCAAGGAGACGGTGCGCAGTGAAACTGTCGGCAGATGCGGAGGTCGTCGTCAGCAATGTCTCAGAAACAATCATTACCACTGGAGTGATATGATCCTTCTTAGCTTTAGGGTTGTATGGCACTGAAAGAGGAGGGGTATTAGATGCAAGGTATTGAAGTATCGCAGATCGGAATGATTGAAGAGCACTCGAGGAACGAGTGAAAGTGTTTGGAAATTCTTCGACCAAGATAATTTGCTTCTTTCGATCCAATGGTTTTACTTCTGGTTTTCCTAGAATATCTGCATTATCGTCGGAAAACAAATCAAGTTGACCGAACTTTCCACCCCGACCCATGAATTCCTCAAATTGTGCAGCCACTGATTGAAAGCCGTCTGAGGAAGCCACCGATCCAACAGGGTTCCTCCACTCTAGAATATCACATCCCATATCTTTCGCCAGCAGTTGTACCGTTGTCGTCTTTCCAGTTCCTGCAGCACCCTTTAGGATCAATAACTGTTGCCTCATTTGTCCCCTGATGACATTTTCAAGCCAGGTTCGAACATCTGTGACTTTCTTTTTGTGAACTCCAAGTTCCTCCAGATTGTTTGGTCCAAAGCGTTCGGCCCAAGGCCGCATATCCTCCTTCTCTACTATAGACTCTAATGAAGGAACTTGAGATGGCTTCACAAACCTTTGGCTAGCGCTGGGTATGTAGGTACCTGAATTTGTAAATACGTTCTTTCCGACCACGCGCTTGGCGGCTTGTCCAACCATGCTAACTGTTTGTGCTCGACTCTCTCCCACATCATCATCATCATCATCTGATATTAAATCATCTATCAGATCAGCCTCCTTCTGAATATCCTTCGAGCTGAGTACCTTAATTCTTTGTTTGGGTATCGTCTCGCCTTCTGCTTGCTGCCTCTGCGCTTGCTTGGTAAAGAATGTATGAATATCTGCACTTTTCCGCTTTTCCTCAATTTTTCCTTTGCCTCTTGGTTTTTCTGGACTAGTACTTGGACTCTTTGTATTGGCCTTCTTGCGATGATTTGGCAGATAAAGTGGCGCGGCATTATGAGGATGATTGGCCGTTTTCGCTGAAGGTTTTATAAAAGAAGATCTCGTAGAGCTGCTAGATTGTGACATAGACCTTGTAATTGGCTCTAAAGAGCTCGAACTTAGTGGCGGAGAGTGTGCCAAATCACTCAATCGACTTTTGAACTTGTTGACCTGAACTGGTTGACTGTCCTCGTTCTCTGATGTATGGGGAGAGGATTCAACGACATTGCGCTTCCGTCTCTTCGCTGGAGGTGCCATGACGGCAATGATATACTCCTACGGGAAACATAACATTACTCATCAAGAATCCTGAAGGTTGGTGGGTCGAGGTGATTGTTGCCTAGAAGATCGATCGATGGAAGCTCCATGTCGAGCGAGATATATTGAAGAAGCATCAACATCAAGCTTATCTTATCGCAAATCACATGACTGCGCGCAAGACGCGTTCATTATGTAATTTCTAATAAATTTCACGAGCTTCTTAAATACCGCAGAGTTCATATTCATACTGTCACTAATTAACCATTTCGCTTAACGTGGTTTATCAGTGGGTCGGACATATCAGTAGGTCGGACACTTTTTCAATATCCTTTACTCTCTCACTTCAATACGCGTTTATTCAATAGTTATTAATGGAAATTCATTCAAAAGAAGTATAAATAATCTTGATTATTAAGGCTATTGAATTAAATAAAAGATTGACAATTCGAAAGACTGCTAATTACTATAGTATACCTCGTGTTACGACGGGCTACACAACTACCAAGGCACCTGATCACAAATGATCAGTAGTGATCATTAAGGATCACTAAGGATCACGATATAGATGATCACTAGTGATCATGAAGGATCACCAGTGATCATAGAAGCATAAAGGACTATATAATCAAGATGGATTTCCTTTGTATAGAGCTTCGTGCTCAAGATCAATCATTTAGTATACTCTACTATTAGTTACGAATTGCATATCATTATTGTCATTACTTAAGTCCCTGCTTGACGCCTAGTTATAAACCACCTCAAGAGCCTGGAGCACTTCCACGTGATCTAGACGGCAAACCTCGTAACAATTTCGAAGAGCAAATAAGGTATTAAGTAAATATCGATGTATTAAAAAAATTCAATTATATAATAAAGGAGTATTTACTGGATAAGAAGCTGAAGATATATTATTATAATAAAAGATTGATAATCAGATTCAATATGATAAACATCAAAATAAAGGAAATTCTAATAGGGAATCATCTACTAATCGATATTGTCGTAAGTATGGAAAGATTGGTCATAATTCAAGAACCTGTCAAAATAATACAATAGATGCTAGTTTATTAGATTCTTAATAGTTTCAATCGATTCATCCAATTGTTATTGAATAATATGGTTTTAAAGTGATAAATCGAGGAAAAAGTGTCCGACCCACTGATAAACCACGTTAGTCCAAAACCTAATATGCACCACTACTTAACATCTTTCTGTTCCTGCATTTGATATGGACTTGAAGGCAAGTTTAGACTACTAAATGTTCAACTTACAACGGAGACCAGCCTTGCATTTTGGGGTTCGAAAGGGATCTCGACTATTTAATACTCCAGCTAATGTCACTGACTTTGGGAGAAGTGCGATGAAATTTTGATCAAGAATGGAATTTTGTTCGCTTTGATGGTTTTGGTTTGAAAAAGAATAGCTTTTTCTAAGCATTTTACGTATTCATGCGTTCCTTTGGAAATGTTACATGGAGTTTGTCGATCTTACTTGAATTCCATATGGATCTGCCAACCGGGGTTGTGGTGTGCTTATGACAGAGGCTTAACATGAAAATAGGCTTGTCTCGTGGTTCATGTTACACCAAATCACAAATTGTGACTCCGAAAACCCAGGTTGATGTGCGTACTTGGCGAAAACCCCGCGTTGATTGTGTACTGTTGCCTTGATGCTTTTCAGAGGTCACCGCTTTTGAATCAAGACAGAAGTTTCAACCAACAAACAAGCCACAGTGAAGATTTTTCTCTTGTTTATAATTGCCTACTCTCACCGATTCTTTCTCTTGAAGGATGGGCTTGTCGCTTTGGGTTTTCATTGGAAATCATAAACCGCCCTACATACTGCCTTGCAGATAATTGGTTTTGAGTCTAGTGACTTGCCAGCCTCAACTTCCTTAATATTATTCTCTTCTTTTTGTTCAGGGCCCTGTATCTTTACGATGACAGATTACATGACAACTGTGCCGTTAGGATTCAAGGCCAGCCCTCTCTATGTTCACGCGGACCAATAATATGCCTCCGCCAAATCATGATTGATCAATTATTGATTAAAATCTGGCGCAGCATTGTACATCCGTGCCACCTTCGTACAAAGTATTAGAGGCTGCATTGTTGGAAGTATATAAACGCCTTACTCCCCACTTTTCACTTTTTGTCCTTTAGTAGCTCCTCGATTCATTGAACATCGCGATAAGTGTTCACAATGCCAGAACCGAAATATATTGATCAGCATGTAAACTTTGTTCAACCAGAATGGTACGTCGTGTTTCATGCTCGGAAAGAGAACAGAGTCAATCCACAACTGCTAATGGAAGTCGTAAGGTCACGGTTGCGGACTATTGGTAAGGACGGAAGTGATTATGCCGTGGAAGTCGAAGCAGACCAGCATAACATTAATCTAAACAGCAACCTGGATGCCAAGTAAGGATGTCTCATGTTCGTTTTCCGTTCACATTGTGCTAATACATCCAATAAAGGATTCAGAATCCATTATCCGGCATCCCAGCGACTTTGTTGTACCATCAGGTTGAGGACTTTGCGACTAAGCATCAGTTACTCGAGATTATTCCCCTATTAATCAAAGGGGCACTAGTAGCACAAGACCCGACAAATTACGAGGATATAAAAGGTGAAAATGCCTTGAATGATGAAGAGATTGAATGCTTGAGGGATGAAGTCCTTCATAAATGGAAACAGCCATGGGCATTGTATGCTACTATCATCGCATGCTCCATCGGGTATACATTCAACCCCTTTCTTACTAATTGCTAGTCTTTCCGCACTAATTTTCGCCATAATAGAGCTGCTGTTCAAGGTTGGGATCAAACAGGTGGGTTCAATTTTAAATGATATTCCATACTGCTGCCAGCGTTTCGAGAGATAAACGGAGCTTGAGATGAACTTGGAAGGTCCAAGTGAGTCCAAGAAGCACCTATAAGGATCAAATCTCCAGAAGCTTCACCTAACTCTCCCTAATGTTTAAGTCACCGACTGACAAATGATTTAGGCTCAAATGGTGCTAATTTATCGTTTCCGAACCTGTTTGGAATTGGAGGAAAATCTACTCGTGATACGATGCTAGTTGGACTCTGTAATGCCGCCCCTTACATCAGCAGCGCATTTATAGGCTGCTGGATTTCCGATCCCCTCAACAACTATTTCGGTCGCCGTGGAACCATATTTATTTCTGGGAACTTTTGCCTTTGGAGTGTGATTGGTAGTGCTTTTACAACAACCTGGGAAGAGCTTTTCATCTGCCGCCTTATACTGGGGCTTGGAATGGGTGCGAAGGCTTCTACTGTTCCTGTGTATGCAGCGGAAAATTCTCCTGCGGGTAAGTTCATGTTCCCTTGATTATCCTATGGCTCCTAAGCTAAAAATTGATTAGCCATTAGAGGCGCATTGGTAATGTCCTGGCAAGTGTGGAACGCCTTCGGGATCTTCTTGGGTTTTTGCGCAAATTTGATAGTAGCCAATGTCCCAAAAATCGCCTGGCGTCTCCAACTCGGCTCTGCATTCATACCCGCTGTACCTCTTTGCATTCTTATCTTCTATTGCCCAGAAAGTCCCCGCTGGTACATGAAGAAAAGTCGATATCCAGAAGCCTACCAGTCTCTATTGAAACTTCGGAACAACCCCATACAAGCAGCGCGTGATCTTTATTATATCCACTCTCAGCTTGAGCTTGAGGCAGAAATTGTGGGGAATCATACTTACTTGACACGCTTTACACAGTTGTTTACAGTGCCACGTTTGAGGAGAGCAACGCTAGCCAGCTTTACAGTTATGTTGGCGCAGCAAATGTGTGGAATTAAGGTGATAGCATTTTATTCCTCGACCGTCTTCAGAAGGCGGGCGC